TACTACTACTACTACTACTACTACTACTACTACTACTACTACTACTACTACTACTACTACTACTACTACTACTACTACTACTACTACTACTACTACTACTACTACTACTCCTACTACTACTACTACTACTACTACTACTACTGCTACTACTAACCTCTAGCTTCCTACCTTAGATAGATAGAAGGTACTACGAACGATCACATCTTCAAGTTGAGGAAGGGCCTCTCACTTACTCACTTATTCGGTTGGTGGCGTGAGATTAGATGTTAGACGAGGTAGGACCTTTCTTTGTGCTACGTAGCCCCCGTCTAGAGATTGGGAGGAGTGCCATACGGAGCTTGACTAGAAAACTTATAACGTTCCGCAGCCAATTCCTCACGGTTCTCTTCGTTGTGCCAGAGTTCCACGCCGAGGCGGCGGCGTATCACGAATCACCAAATGCATGTACGAACGAACGAGACTTGATATTAAGGTCAGGGCTTTTTTCATTCGGCGAACCACTCGCACTTTGGTTGCACGTCTTTTCCTCTTCTCCTAGCTTCGCCTAGAGCCTTCCTAATCACCGGCCCTATCAACCTAGTCTGGGTAGCGACAGTAGCAGATCTCTCCCCCCATCGCTGTCTCAGGGCAAAGAAATTTATATTTGCTCACTACTCCCACCCCCTTCCCCTCCCCAATGCAGCGCATTACCTTGAAAATAACTATTCTCCGGGCTGGAATAGACTAATAATGCAAACGCATCCGCCCAAATGGGCTTTTCGAAAGAAACTCAAGCCTGAACTCCATTGCACCGCCGGAGAAAGAAGAAGGGACCAACGAAGTGGTATTATTCACAAAGGAAAGCGTGCTGCCGGTACTAGTACTTTTACATTATTGACAAATCGAGTGGCCGTGATATTGTTTGTTGTTGCTTGTCTGTTGATAAGCGAGCTGATCACCTGGTCGGCTCTCCGGAGAAACAATAGTGGGCCTAGGTGGCACAACTGTTGGGCCTGTTAAACAGATTATCCGGTACTGTTTCAGGAAGTTGGTTGGCTTCCATTTGCAGCAGACGGGCTGACTTCCGAGACCTGCGAAGGAGGGGCGCCAAGGCCGCGGGGGTCTTCGGTGATGATTGGATCATTACCCTTGGTATCCGGGTGTATCTCAACATCGTCTCTCGACTCCAATTCGGACCGTCCTTGGGACTTGGAGAATCCCGCGCTTTCGGTATCGCCGGTCCCACGCTCGATTGGACTCCATCCACCTATACTTCCTGCGACGATACCGGCCATGACTGCACCCAGGGCCGAGTTCGATCGTGAGCGGTTGCTGCGGCCGCGCTTGCGAGAATCGGGGCTTTGTTGGGGTTGCTGGGAGGAGAAGCTGTCGTCTTGAACTTCCCCATTGTTTGGTGTCCCTGGGATGGATGAATTGCTTCTGGTGCGAGAGCCACTTCGGGATCGAGGAAGCCAAGTGTCGCGAGCATCTTGCATCTTGAATTTCAGCTGGTTGATACGACCTCCCTTCATAAGCCTCATGAACCTGAGCTCCTCTTTAACATCTGCCAATGGCTGGGGGAATCGGAAGCGTTGCTCCTCGTCGGAGATGGTGAGCTCGGGTCTCTTAGGCTTGCGTTTGAAGTATGCAGGAATAAGTCTGATGAGTCGCTCGTCAGGGATCAAGCGAATGAGGGCTCCGACGGGAATGGATATGAATCCGAGAATGATGGAATAAGCCCATTGAGCCCCATTGAGTCGCACAACGTTGAAAGCTTTGCCGCCAACGAAAATGATCATAATCTGACCGCCAACCATCACACAATTGATGCCGATGAAGAAGTAGTTCTTGGTGATACCTTCAAAGATATTGAACTTGTTATCGAGACGACGGTTGCTGATACTATTAGCATCGTTTTTTTTATAGGAAGAAAGAATGTGTGTTACTTACTTCCATTGGTTGAAGATCTGCATCCAGACAAAGGTATTAAAAACAAGAGTGCCCACTTGATCCTTCTCGCGCTGTGACTGATAAGACAGAATTTTGGTAGCTCCAAAATGAAGCAGTAAGGTGATCGCAAGTTGGTAGATTGCCTCGCCAATAATCATCTTCCACATTGTCACGGAAATAAGAGGGGCGGATTTGGGGTCGGGTTTCCGGTCCAAGATGCTGTCAGTGGGTGGGTCGGTAGCAAGAGCTAAGGCTGCCATTGTGTCCATGATCAAGTTGACCCACAACAACTGAACAGCGGTCAAGACAGATTCTTCGTCGCTGCTTGCAACGGCAGAGATAAATGTGAGCAGGACGGCTGTGATGTTGACGGTGACTTGAAACTGAAGGAACTTCTTGACAGCATCATTGACAGCTCGTCCCCACATCATCGCCTTGACAATCGAAGCAAAGTTATCATCCATTAGAATGATTGCAGACGCTTCCTTTGCAACTTCGGTACCAGCGATACCCATAGAGAAACCAACATCAGCTGTCTTGAGGGCCGGTGCATCGTTGGTCCCATCCCCAGTGACGGCGACGGTCTCCCCAAGCTCCTTAAGGCGCTTGACCAAAATACGCTTATCCTCGGGACTGGATCTTGCGAGAACTTGCAGGCGAGGGATGAGTTGGTCCATCTTGGTTTTGTTCAGCTTTCGGAACGTGGGACCTTCCATGACGATTCCACCAGCAGTAAAGATGCCACACTCCGTAGCGATAGCCTTGGCAGTGATCATGTTGTCCCCAGTCACCATGCGAACGATAACGCCTGCTTTCTGACATTTCAAGACAGCCTCGGCAACACCATCACGCAGTGGGTCCTGGATGCCGACAATACCCAAAAGGACCATCTGTCGGAACACATCCTCGAAAACGACTTCGTTGCGATCTCCTTCAGTGGTTCTGGCTCCCTTGGCTGGCCATCTGTCGAAATCACGGTAGACCATGGCGATTGTTCGGAGAGATCGAGAGGCGTAGTTTTCAATGAGGCCGAGGAGAGTAGAACGACTGTTATCGGTCATAGGCGAGCTGGAGGGTTCCTTGGTAGGATCCTGGATGATCTCTGTGCACTTGTCCAGCAGAATTTCAGATGCCCCTTTGACGTAAAGTCGATACTTCCCGCTCTCGAGTTTGATAACGACACCCATGCATTTGCGGCCCGAGTCAAAAGGAATGAGCTGTACGACGGGGACGTTCGACCGCTCTTGGTCAACCGAGCTCATGCCAAGGTAGTCTCTTGCAAAAATCAACATAGCAGTTTCGGTCTTCGAGCCAATGAAGGTCTTCTCTCCCTCAGCTTCTCCTTCGAAGGCGGTGGAGTTCAGGACGATCGACTGCGTTAACATGACTTTGACATCTGCATTCAACGAGGAAATGACCTCCTGAGGGTGAACGTTCTCCGCAGCTTCTGGTGTGTCTGGCTGTTTGCCCTTGTTGCTAGCAGAATCGGGGCGGGCCGTATCAACCGTACCACCAAACCGAGAGCTGGTACCGAGTGTGCCGGCAACGACCAACATCTTGTTCTGTGTCAAGGTCCCGGTTTTGTCGGAGCAGATAGTTGTGGCGTTTCCCATGACCTCGCAAGCCTTCAAGTGTCGAACCAGGTTGTTATCCTTCAACATCCTCGTGGTAGCAAATGCCAAGGCAAGAGTAACGGCAAGTGGAAGACCCTCAGGAACGGCCACTACGATGATAGTAACCGTGACGATAAAGATTTGAAGGAACTGTTGACCCTTTTCGGTTGGAGTGCCAGAATTGTTTGGGAGACGAACCAAGAACTCGATGAGCAGAACGATGAACAGAAGAAGGCCTGCAGATCCTCCAAGTTTCGCAATATACTCAGCAAGAATATTCAATTTTGACTGGAGAGGTGTGACTTCCGGATCTTCTCTCAAGGACATGAGAGTCTTTCCGTAGCTTGAATTGACACCAGTCGAGGTGACCAAGAAACTGCCCACACCTTCGGTGACTTGAGCCCCAGAGAGGATGAAAGGATCGAGCTTGCGCAGGCTTTCCTGCTTTTCGATGGCGGCGTAGACCTGGTCAGCTGGATGCTTGCGAATCAAGTCAGATTCTCCGGTTGTCTGAGATTCGTCGCATTTGACGTTGTGGCCATCAATAAAGACACCGTCCACAGGAATCATGTCTCCCGGCGCCAAGAGCATCACATCCCCCACAAGCACATCAAATACAGAGATTTCTCGGGTCTTTCCAGATCTGATGACGTTGACGTCTCGATCCTGTTTCTTCTTGTTGAGCTTGACGAATTGGCGTTCCTTCTGGTAATCGTTCAGAGATCCAACCACGACCACAATGACAATGGCCACAATAATAGCCACTCCTTCAACCCATTCGATTTTTGGGTGCTCGGCGTCATGTTTGGTACCGAAGGTCTGGTAAAGACCGACTCCTAAAGAGATGGCGGCTGCGATGGACAACAGAATCAGGACTTTGTCATTGTAAGTAATCCACATAATCTCCAATAAGCTCTTTCCCTTCTTCACGGGCAATCGGTTGTCGTTGAAAATTCTCTTTCGGTCGAAGTAAGAGTCGTCGGAATTTTGGGCTCGGCGAGGCGTGTCTCCCGATTCTTTCGAGCCGACGCGGGTAATTGGTTGTTTGGATAGGCCTTCCGCAGCTTTACTCCCTCTGCTGCCAGTGGATCTGGCCTCTTCGAAAGTGATAGTTCCATCCAAACCAGTCTCATCGATGCTCAGACCTGCTTTCCGATCTGATCTTAGGCCCTTCTCCAGCCCGGCTAATCCACCCAGTGCATAGAATGCAGATAGACTCTTGGGATTGATGAGCTTGTTCAGCTGACCGGGAGAGAATGCAAACTTGTTATCATGAGTGGAGAATTCGTCTTCGTGGCCTGGATCTGGAGTCAGAGCCTCGGGATCATTCATGACATCGTCGTTTGCTGGATCCTTTCCAAATACGCGATCCTTATCCGCCGGTGACCCGTTCGCGTAGGTTTCACCGCTATAGTTGGTGCTTGAGCGATTCATATCTTCAGACTCGATCGAATTCTGTCTCGACCTCAATCCTGGGACGGCCAGAAATGCCCCGGCGGTCTTTTCCCCCCCTCTTGACGTTGGCGAAGATACATTATGGAGTGAGGCTGGTCTGCTATCGCGACTATCACAGGAGGTCGAGGCCCGGAGTTCCGGCACAGAAATGCGGCTTGCGGTGCTATTCTGACTAGAGTGTTGCTGTCGGTTCGGATCGCTCGTATTATCGAGTGGAGGGGGAGAGCTGACGGGATCGCCCTGTGAAGTTGATGATGAGTTAGGCACAGCTCTCAAACCCACCGCATCACCATCCACAGACTGAGGGAGGCTGGGGTTACTGACGGCAGAGGTGTCTATGGTAATAGTCGGCCTGCAACACGGGGATTAGCACTGCGAAACCGTAAATTAACTCGCATATATATCATCTGGGGGAAGCCCTACGCTCTTTGTCTACGCCCGCCGGGTCCTGGAGAGTGCGAGGGCGGCGGGACGGTCTTGGGATCTGCCATGATCCAGGGATTCAGGGTGTAGGGTCGAAGGTTTCGCAAGGCTTGTATCTTCTTGTCTACGCGCTACCCCAGGCGCAAGACCTTGGCAGAAAACTTGATTGTAGATCGATAAGACTGTGTGTAGCTCGTGTATATCGATCGGAATGGGGCTGGCTGATGCAGCAGGCTGCAAATGAAGTCCTAGAGGATTATATCAGCTTGTATTCCTGGTGTTTGTTATTCACAAAGGGAGAGAGAGCTGAGTGGGTTTGATTGTTGTGAGCCAAGACCACAACATGCTGCAGTGCTTGGCCATGCCATGGTCCTTTGGAAAGCAGAGCAGAGCAAAATTGTTTGTTTGTTTGTTTGTTTTCCCCAAGCAACAATTGCGCATCATCTGCCAACGTCCTCGGTCCGTGAACTTTCGACCTGACAGCGGGAAGCTCTGCGGTATCTCACCTGGGATTCTTCAGCGCATGAAACAGCCGCCACGCCGAAGGATTAGGAGGGTTTTGAGTTCTCGGTGAGCCGGGTGTGTAATGTGAATGCGATATCGATATCGATATTCCGTCAGACAAGGCAACGGAATTGCAACGAAGTGGGAGAGAGGGGGGGGGAGAAGGCGAAGGAGTGAAGGAGCGTTGGAAGATTTCAAGTCGAGTTCGCGTCGAGACGAGACGAGACTCAAGGACCAGAGGGTGAAGATGGACAAGAATGCCAAGAAAGACCAGAAGACCAAGATGGACAGCCGAAAGTCAGTTGGAATGCTTGATCGAAAGATATTCTCCGGCGGGCGCGAAGAGATGTTTGTATGTGATGTGGAATGTTGATGTTGGCCCGTGTCGGTTGGCAAACGCAGGAAAGGTATCCGCTATAGCAACGCCACGAGTGAGGCTGTGGGCGGTTCGCCACTATATCCGAGTGCGCGCGCGATCGATCTTCGAATTCAACAAAGAAAGTTCTGTCAGAGCATCTACAAACATGTGCAGCAATATTATCTGGCATTGGCTACAGACGTGCCACGCAGCACTATGAGGCCCCCAAACAGCCCAACGGCCAACGGGAGCATTTCCTCGTTACTACACGAAATATTCAAGCCTCGAGTCTACCGCTGCCACGATACAGACTACTAGTTTGCAAATCTGATGGCTCACCCATATCCATCCATCCATCCCTCTCTGATAAACAGCTCACCAACATACAGGTACCTAAGATATGCATCAAGCGACGACAACCTCACCAGACCTGCAAAGTCACAGCTGGAACCGAGCAAATCACAATCACGTTGAGGCTGTGCCCTTCCACGAGGCTGAGCCTGCATCTCGCCTTCCAGAAAGCTGCTTTCTCCCGAGACATCGCCACAGCGTTACAGTATCACGTCCGTCCTTTCTTTGCTTCGAATCATGAGTAGCAGCTGCAACCAGCTTCTTGGTGAGATCCCCTAGCCATCTTTGCTTGGCCTTTTACACACCAAGAACAATACCACCAAGACCACACCACCGATTCCTCCCAAGCCTCAAGAGGCAGTGCGCGAGTAGGATACCGGTAGATAGATAGGTAGGTACCTCCTCCGCATCTCCCGCCATCTCGCCACCCCATTCCCAAAGAAAAAAACCAGCCTCTTCTTCTCGCCGTGGCAAAACCTCGTCGTTACAGTCACTCTTATTGCAAAGACAGACTATGGCGTGGTCTCTCGGTCGAATAGCCGAGTCGAGTCGCAATCAAGAATGCTGCAGGCAGGAGCTCGTTGATCCCAAAGCGAAAAAGAGGTGGCGAAAGCGCGCAGAGGTCCCGCAAAGGCCCGCAAAGGGGCTGTGTCTTATGAGCACTACCCAGCAACTCTACATTATTATCAACTATCGCGTGCGAAAAGAGAAAGAAGGAGATGGGAAAAACAGCGACTCGTAGAAAGAGGAGGACCCGTCCACAACAATATTTAATCTTCGCTCTCTCCTGCCACACGTCCCATCCCGGCTCTGGTACCGGTAGACCTTTTGTTTACCAGAAATAAATAGATAACCGCCTACCTCCTCCCTTTCACTTTCTCATCTAAGAGTTTTGTTGATGCGATGCAATATATATATATGTGATATATGATACGATATAAGTGACATCGAGGCTAACGGGCTACGGCAAAAGAAAGGAGGATGGTGATGATGGCTGGTCGGGAGTGACGGACGTACGATACATATCTACGGCACGCGCGGGATAGATAGATAGATATAGGTAGGTAGCAGTCAACTTACAGCAGGTCTGTCTCACAGGGTCTTCCGAGAATAACACACATCTGCAATGACACGAGAGAGAGAGAGAGAGAGAGAGAGATTGAATCGTAATGAAAGACGCATTTTCAACTCTTTTGGGGGGGCTTTTCCTATGCATTTAAAATGGCTTTCACCTTTCTCCCAGTTCCCAAAGCCATCACACCATCACATCCTATTTGAAATTCAAAGAGGATCTAAGCCTGAAGTAGTTCACACCGCGGCAGCACAACGGCAGCAAAACGCAACAGTGTTGGTATGACGTAGGAAAAGCAATCGATGCCAGTACAGACGCAGAGGAAAGCAAGCAGTGTACAAAAAAAAAACCTCCCCCCCTCCCCCCTCTAGTCCGGATTCCCTAGATGCCATGATGCCGATGGAGACAAACTAATCTAAGCATCTCTTCTCTGCGAGACGCAATTTGTAGAATCAAAACTCGCTCGCTATTTTGACGCCAAATGATACAAAACAAGAAAGAAACCATAGGACCAGCGAGTCCCATATCGACAAATGAAATCAGGCGACAACTGCTGTCGGGCTCAGCCGTCTCTCTCTCTCTCCAACTGATTTGACTTTGCCCACGTCTGATTCGCACAATACCCAGGCCACAGACAGGTATGTCTCACTTCTGGACAGTGAACTTATATCTGCTCTGGAACCCCTCCTCCAGCTGAACCTCAACCTTCTGATCCTCGGGAATCATCTCGTGTTCAAGGTCCCAGCCCGCGCGTCGGCACAGCTCAGCCACAACGACGTCGCAATCACCCAGCATATCGACGTCAAAGTTGACATGGCTAACTGGCGTTCTCGAAATATACATCTGCGGGATGTGGGCGGGGAGGTAGGGGACGACTTCTGAGACGGGAGCGACTTTCAGCGAAGTACCGATGACGATGACCAAATCGACCAGATCTTTGTCGTGGTTCGTGAGACGGTCTGAGAAGCGGTCTGGGAGGGCTTCTCCGAAGAAAGTAATGTCTGGCTTCATGATGCCTGACTTTGGGTCGTCGTAGTCATCTTCAGAGGAGCTATCTTCGGCGTCCAGGTCAAATCTTTTCTTTTTCTTGTCCTGGCCGTTATATGACCGCTTGCGTTTCAAGGCGGTAGGTGCCCGCATCTTGCGTGCATTATTGATGCAGCGGTCGCAGTGTGGAATACGACCGGCTCTGATATCGGGGAAGATGAGATGGCCGTCGACTTGGTAGCCGCACTCTATGCAGCTGGCAGTGGCAAAGGACCCGTGGCATTGGATCAGCTTCTCGGGCAAGATACCAGCAGTGGTCTCAATATTGTCGATGTTTTGTGAGTAGTTTGTGAGAAGCTTGCCTTTTTGTTGCAGAAGACTGATGAAGGCATGAGTGGGAGTGAAGCGATCAGTTGAAGGAATGATATCCTTCGCAACCGAGTAGAAGATGGTTGGGTCCTCTCGGAAGATACGTATGTCAAAGACTTCTTGCGGATCGTTGAGTCCAAGGTGTTCGAGCTTGGAATAGAGACCCATGTCCTTGGATCTGAAGTCCGGGATGCCAAGAGATGTCGAGATTCCGGCACCGGTAAGGACGATGATATTCCTCGCCGTCTTGATTAGGTTGACTGCATCATCGATGCTGTTGTAGTGTGGCAGCTTGATTCTCTTGGACAAGTCCCGGCTGATAGCCAGACCCAGAAGAGTGTAATAAGCAACATCGTCACGGCCCTCCAGCGACACGGGTGGCTTGACATTAAACGCAGTGAGCAGCTTCTTTGCCGTAATTTTACCTGCTTCTACTGTTCGCGCACAGAATGCCTCGGGTCCGATTGCACGAAGTTGTTGTCTGAAAGCAACTGCCTCTTGGAGGGTGCATATATCCTCTGTGCCTACTTTAGCGATTCACTCTCTCTCTCACTCACTTCCCAAGGCGTTTCAGGACTCACGACCACCACACAGACTCTCATCCCCAATTTCTTCCAGCGAGCCTTCAATCTCGATGACTGACTCTAGGTCCCAGTCCTCTTCTTCATCTTCCTCTGCCTCCTCCTCGTTGGCGCCGTCGTCGCTGAGTGCGCTGTCCTCGTCTGGGTTCTCGTCACCTGACTCTGACCCGTATGCCTCTAACTTGACGCCATCGACACGTTGCGCCGCGACGATAACTTCCTCGTTGTCGGAGTCGGAATGCAGGTTGACGAGCTTACTCCGTACCGCGGTATCCATGTTTGTTTGTGGCTGCCGCGACAACTCGATCTCGTCCAGTGTAAAGGAGGTAAGGGTGTGATAAGGGAAGTAAGGGTAAGGTATGTAATAATAATAATAAGGGCGAGAGACAGAATCCCGGCCGGCCGGACTTAGAGTTGGTCGGGTCGGAGAAAAACGCCGCTTCGGCTAGCTAGCTAGCTGGGCTCGGCTGGGAGGCTTGTCCTTCCTTAGCCGCGCGTGTATTTTCCCTCCTCCATTGTTATCAGCCAGCACCAGCACCAGCACCAGCACCCTCGCATATGAAGTTCAGTTCCGCATCATGTCTGTATCTGAAATCCGGATAAATGGCCTCTTCCAAATCCAAAGTCAACGCTGGGCCCGGCAATGTCGCACCTGAATTGCTCTTCACAGCTCCGTCATTCGCACCGGAGACGAGACATCCACCACCATCCTCCCCCTTCAATCCCCAGCACTGTCACAATGGACCCGGGTTACATCGTCGACGTAACTCACACGGCAGCCACGAATATGGGAAGAGCTCTGGGTCTGGAAAGCACATCCGGCTCCCAGCACCGTCAAGTGACCCAAAGTCATCTGCCTCGTCTATTTACATGGGCTCGTACAGTCCTCGGCGATCAAGAGATTTTAAACATTCCGCAGCATCTGCTCCAGCGACTCCTCGTGCGAGTCTGAGCCGTAGTCGCCTTGAAAACCTACTTTTCGATTTAGACCTGGACCTCGAGACGTACGGTGTTGAAGAGCTTCGCGATGGATTCTTCGATGCCTCCTTTTTCAAACCTCCCAAGGTCAATGTGGAAGACATGATGAGAGATGACAAATACACGCTTCCTGCTACTTTCAAGAAGGCCAATCCTCTTTCTCCTAAAGCGTTCCTCCCACACCAATGGCATGGTATCAAAAAAGCCGTCGAAGATGTAACAACCACTAGAGCTGGGATTAAGCTGGGGAAGTCTTTTATTGCCTTCTTTACTGCCTACATTATATGCCTAGTTCCGTCCGCCAGGGCCTGGCTTGGACGCTACAGCTATATAATGGTGCTTTCAACCATTTTAAATCATCCTGGGCGGACGATTGGAGCACAGGTTGATGGAACCGTTTCCACAATCATTGGTTCAGCCACAGGTCTAGGGTGGGGAGCTTTTGCTCTCTGGCTCTCGGACTCATCATCTGTTGCCCGAGAAGGCTATGGAGGAATTCTGGCTGCATTTCTTGTACTCTTCATGGGAACTATTGCTGCACTTAGATGCTACTTTATCAGAATCTACCAAATGGTCATCTGCGCTGGTATAGCCATCAGTTACACGGTCTTAGCAGACACAGCGTCGGACATCCGTTGGAGGAGACTTCTCGACTACGGAATCCCCTGGCTGTTTGGCCAAGCAGTTTGCCTGCTGATTTGCTGCACAGTCTTTCCAGATGCTGGAGCTCGGCCACTGGCAGTAGCTCTACATAATGCATTTGGTGTAATGCAAGATGGACTATTAATACCTCAGCCGGACCCTGTTATGCTGCGTCGGCAACTGGCATGGACGTTCGTTAACTTATCACAAGCCCATAGAGACCTCGTTTTAGATATATCCATCACTCGATTCCAGCCGAAAGACGTTGAAACACTGCGAAATATCATGCAAGGTGTCATCAGGTCGCTGTTATCGCTCAGGATGGAAACTCACCTGTTTGATGACTTTGAGCCTACTCTGTCAGAGACATCGACTGCTGGACGTCGAGGCCGCTCTTCGGAAGCCAAAATCGTGCAAGGTGATGGGAACACACGGTCTTCCGATGAGAATCCCATCATTTCGAAGAACACTGTGATTGACATCGACAATATCAGCCAACGACCCTCAATGAGTCGAACGTCGACAGGGGAGCGGGCTGTCAAGCTCGTGGCTAGTAGATTGGCAGGCCCAACTTCTAAGCTATTGAATTGCATGAAGGCTTCCTTGGAAAGATGTGATGCTGTTTTAATGGGCATGTCTGGCTACCGAAAATATCTAGGTCCTCCCAAAGATGTGTCTGTCGATATCCTAGCTTCTTTAACGAAGCTTCGCAAGACCTTTATCAAATACGACCAAGAAGAGGAGTCTCTCATGAACAATCCGTCGCTACCTCCAACATACTCTGATCATCCAGAAGTCGTTGAGCTCTTTCTGTTTGTGCATCCCATTAGACAGGCTGCACGCACTGTCGAAGCTCTGCTGGTGAAAGTCATGGAAATGCAACAAAAGCACCAAGGATGGAGGCTTTATCTACCATCTTACCCCTGGCAAAAGGCAATACAGCGTACCAACGCTCAGGTCCGCCACGATCGTGGTGGTCTGACGGCAGGATTTTATTTCCAAAGCCAAAGTCAATTGGCCCGAACCATGAAGGGAATGGCCAATGTTTACAAGCCACTACCTCGCCAGTGCGCTTATGGAAATGATAAGGATGAGGAAGAGGAGGAACAGCCTGTGAGAAGGACTGATACGATAGGAAAGTATGAAGAAGAGAGAGAGGCTGCAGCGAAGCAGAGACGTTTTCGATATAGGTTGTGGCAGGTTTTGCATCGGCTTCAGGGTTATGAGACTAGATTCGCGCTTAGGGTCGCTATCACGACGTCTTTATTGTCAATTCCTGCCTGGCTGAATCAAAGCAGAGGCTGGTGGAATGACAGTGAGAGTTGGTGGGCAGTTGTCAGTAAGTCTCAAATATCTCTCATATTTGGCCAATAATTTCTCGATGGCAAACAATCCCGAGCCGTCGTACAAATCTTCTGTCCCTATACTATTGTGAGGCTATATATGCATACTGACTGGCTCCCAGTGGTCTGGGTAATGTCTCACCCAAGAGTAGGCGGCAATTTCCAAGATCTCGTCACACGCGCCTTTTGTGCAGTGCTAGGCGCAGTCTGGGGTGGCCTAGCATACGGAGCAGACAACGGGAATCCCTACGTTATGGCAGTCTTTGCAGCCATCTACATGCTCCCCATGATCTACCGCTTTACGCAGAGCTCTCACCCACGATCAGGTATTGTCGGCTGCATCTCCTTCACTGTGGTGTCTCTCAGTGCCGTCGCAAATGATGGACTGCCTTCAGCTTCGCATATTGCCCTGACTCGTGGATTGGCCTTCGTGGTAGGAACGGTCGCTGCGGTAATCGTGAATTGGATGTTGTGGCCGTTCGTGGCGAGACACGAGCTCCGCAAGGCATTGTCTGCTATGATGATATACTCTAGTATTATTTATCGTGGTGTAGTAGCCAAGTACGTGTACTATGAGGCAGGGCAGGAGCCTACGAAGGAAGATATAGCACGGTCAGGTAAGATCTAATCCACGATACTTGCTTCCCAGCAGGATTCCTACTGCTTGTCAATTATCCCGGATTTCACGATACCTGCTAGGATGATTGAGCGTGCAGTATCTTCTCCCTCTTCTCTAACAAGTCCCAGAAATGCTTGAAGGTCGTCTCCGCGAAGGCTTCGTCCGAATTCGTCAACTCATGGTATTCCCCTAGTCGTCCCCCAAACCAACAACCAGAATACTAAAAATACCAGGCCCTTACCCGCCATGAGATCCGCCTCCGTGGTCCCTTCGATCCTCTCCCCTACTCAGCCCTCATCGACGGCTGTGAGAATTTCTTCGAATACCTGGTCTCCGTCCGCCAATCTTCACTTTTCTTCCACCCTCACTTCATTTCCGACGATGAGCAAGCTGCTGAAAGCCTACTCACATACCGGAGAGATGCTGTGGCTACTATCCTCATGAATCTTTACATACTTGCTGGGGCGCTGAGGGGCGATCAGAAAGTACCTGTACGTCGCAAAATTTTCTATCCTCCCATTTCCATTCCTCTCGCGCAACTGATACCCTCGTAGCGTTATCTCCCGAACGCTGCCGCAGCAAGGAAACGCCTGCTAGCACACATGGCCTTCCTAGAAGCCTCGCAAGCATCCGTCATCAAGCCCAATACCCCGGGGCTTGATACACTAGAGCGAGAAAGCAGGAAATGGTCTCAGATATACAGTTACTCGTACAGCCAAAGTTTGACGGGGTGTGTGCAGCAACTGGAGCAGTTACAGAAATACACGAAGATGATTGTCGGAGAGCAGGGGTATACACCCTTACATTTTCTGCTGTTTAATCATTGCTCAACTGAAGTCACTGGATCCTGAGAAATTTATATTATCAGGCTGGCCATTTACTTCGGCCTCGCAAGACAGCAAGCTGACTACTCTTTTCAGGTTTGAATCCATCGATCCCGACCTTTATGAAGACATTACGAGACCACGCTCGGAAGCAATGGGACACGAGAAGGCAGCCAAACTCGTTAGATAGCTTTCTACTGCTTTTCTCAGTACATATTAGCCACACTTTATTTGTAATGCCAAATTCCATAATCGGCTGTTATATCTGATGTACCTAGCTGTTGGATCTTTTCAGATTTGAAATCGCAGCAGACCATTACTCAGGCATTACCTTGATAACACGTTCGACGGGTGCATTTGCGATTCAATCTGCAGCAACAACTCAGCCAGCTGAAATTTCGCCAGCATAACAGGCGTAAGTTAAGCGAAGAGCTGTCTTCAGCAAACTGCTCTCCCGATTTGTTGACTTTTTTTGATCGGTTACGGTTAGCCGAGCGAATAGGGGCGACCCACATTTCTGCCCAGCCCTTCACGCTTAAATTGATTGCTCTTCAAGGACCAACGTTGATGCACCTTATTCGCAGAATGGTCCTTATGGTTCGTGTGAGTTGGCAATCTACTGTGTCTGGTGTCTGCATATCTATCTGACGAGGATTATTCCCGGGCCTGGATTTTTTTGGGGGGGGAGGGGGAATGAGTTTTAGCTGGAATGTACTGTAGAAGTGTGTGAAGAGAAATTTATAATTTATTTCAAACTCGGTTCATGATATCAAATGCCCCCGTCGCCACCCCACTATTTCTAACCCCGCCAAAGGCTTTGGCGAGGCTGCCTGGAACTGTGATACCCCACCTGCAACTAACTAACTAACTACACCTACAATCTACAACCTCTACACTCATTCAAGATTGAAATCCGAGCATCTCACTCTCTCTAATTTTTCACCTCTACAAGCCAATCACACCAGCAGAAATGCACATCCTCGTGAGTCCCTCGCCTTACAAGAAAAACTCCCCAGTAACTGCAAGACGTTGACATCAAGTACAGGTAGTAAACGACGACGGGCCGCCCTCCAACCAGTCTTCCCCCTACGTCCACTCCCTCGTCAAGAATCTCCAAGAAGCCGGACACACTGTGTCCGTCGTCCTGCCACACACTCAGCGCTCTTGGATCGGGAAAGCCCACATCATCGGACAGACCGTGAAGCCCACGTACTTCCGCCCAGGCACGCTGCACCAGGACGACGGCACAACACACTCGCGGCCCCTTGCCGCCGGCTCTGAGCAGCGCGAAGAGTGGGTGCTCGTGGACGGGACGCCAGCCTCGTGCGTGCAGATCGGCCTGTACCATTTCTTCCAGGACCGTGGACCCGTGGACCTGGTGGTCAGCGGGCCAAACTATGGGAGGAACAGCACGGCGATATTCAGCCTTTCGAGCGGGACGCTTGGAGGCGCGCTGGAGGCTGCGGTGTGTCAGAGAAGGGCGATTGCGCTGTCGTATGCTTTCTTTTCGCGGAATCACGACCCGGAGATTATTGCTGGAGCGTCAAAGTTGTCGGTCAAGCTGATTGACTACCTATACAAGAACTGGGACGAGAATGTCGACTTGTATAGCGTCAATGTGCCGCTAGTTGAGGGCGTAGAGGGGAACAAGATCATGTGGACGAATATGCTGCAAAATTACTGGAGTCCGGGCAGCTGTTTCCAAGAGGTGGTGGATGAGGAGGGGAATGCGGCCGAGGAGGAGTCGAGAATTAGAGAGGCGGAGGGGAGTGAGGGCGTGGAGGGCTCGAAATCAGATGGGGATGCTGTGACGAGACATAAGCATAAGCACTTCAAGTGGGCACCGCGGTTTACAGACGTGTATGAGAGTGTGGAGAAGGCGCCTCCTGGGAATGATGGGTGGGCTGTTAAGGAAGGCTTTACCAGGTATGTCTCCCGTACAGCGGACATTCTAGACGATCAGTTCTGACAGATTTACAGTGTTACGCCGTTGAAGGCCAACTTCATGCATGCGGCGGCAGAGACGAAAGGGGAGTTGAAGCTGTGAGTGCGGTTACGGAAGCATAATGTTGGAGCATCTAGAAATGTTAGACCATTTGCAATACAAAAGCCACATCAACCAACTTCCAACTTTGCAGCGTCCAGAAATCTAACGAGTACCCTCAGGCCAGCATCAACATCTCTTGTTTCTTCAGCACAGAAGCCCATTTCTGCTCCCCTATCCGACCCCAAGCACTTCTACGCTCTAATCAACTACGAGGATGCCTACGTCCAGCCTCTCATCCTCTCAGCCCTCAAATCCTTCCGCTGCTCAACCAGCTACACACTCATAACCACACTCTCTGAACTCCCCTCCCCCTCAACCCCCTTCCTGCAAATCTCCGCCTACGAATCCCTCCCCTTTGAACACGCCCTCTCCCACCCCAGCAGCACCCTCATCAACTCGTACATCATCCGCAAAGCTCTGATCCGGAAACACTACCTCAGCACGACGACGTACAACTGGGTCGCTAAGCACCCGGACAGCATCCTGAAGCGGACCGTGAAGCCCGCGTGCGAGTTCGAGGTCGACTACGCCGAGTTCCTGGACGACGCGCTGGTGGAGGCGTGGGAGCTGCACGCGAGTTGGAGGCGCGGCAGAGAGGGGAAAGAGAGGAAGGAGGAGAGAGAGTGGTGGATTCTGAAGCCGGGGATGAGCGATCGGGGGCAGGGGATTCGGCTCTTCTCGTCGGAAGAGGAGCTGCAGGCTATCTTTGACGAGTGGGAGGCCGAGAGGCCGGAGTCTGACGACGAGGACGAGGACGAGGACGAGGATGAAGATGAGGAAGGGGGCGGAGAGGGCGAGAAGGCTGTTGGTGGTGATGGTAGTGGACAGGGGGTGACGGCGGAGATGAATAAAAAGGAGCCAGAGCGAGAGCGGGAGCGAGATTTCATAGTGACCTCGCACCTCCGCCACTTCATCGCGCAGCCGTACATCCACCCGCCGCTCCTGCTGCCCGGCAACCCGCGCAAGTTCCACATCAGGACCTACGTCTTGGCATACGGCGCATTGAAAGTCTACGTCTACAAGCCCATGCTGGCCTTGTTCGCCGCGACGCCCTACGTTGCTCCCTGGCAAACCACCACCACCACCACCACCTCCTCCTCCTCCTCGTCATCATCGTCATCACCAGCACTGGACCTCTCCCCGCACCTGACAAATACCTGCCTGCAGACCGGCAGCCACAATGGCGCGGTGGAGTCCTTCTTCTCGATCCCGGCCTCGCAACTCCCCGACAGCGCGAAAGAGGACATCTTCCGCCAGATCTGCGAGACGACGGGGGAGCTGTTCGAGGCGGCGGCCCGGGGCATGAGCGTGCACTTCCAGACGCTGCCGAACGCCTTCGAGGTCTTCGGCCTGGACTTCCTGGTCGATGAGCGCGGCGTGGCGTGGCTGTTGGAGTGTAACGCGTTTCCGGATTTTAGGCAGACGGGTGAGGAGTTGAAGGGGGTGGTGGAGGGCTTGTGGAGGGAGGTGGTGGAGGTTGTTGTTGGGGGGTTCTTTGGGGGGCGAGGGGGGGAGGGTGGAAGGGGGGGGAGGGACATGGTGCTGGTTAGGGATGTGGATTTGGGGAGGAGGTAAATGAGGTGGTTGTGGGTGTGGAGGAGATGCCGGTAGATAGTACCGGAAATATCAAGCTGTGCTGTGTGCCCGCTCATCCATGCTCGCAGCTGTTACGCGTCTGAGAGAAAGACACAACGAGAAAATGGGTTGAGGTTAAGAATAGGCAAGCAGTCTTTACAATATCCGGAGAAGTTGGCGAAAAAAGAAAACAAAGCTTTTCTTTTTTTCTGGTCAAGATTGGGAAAAGTATAGGAGGAAAGAATTCAGAACAAGAAGAATGTGACAAGTGAAAGCATGAACACAAGACAATTAATAAGAAGGAGGGGGGAAGAAAGAGAGGAAGCGAAAGCAGCAGAAGCAGATCAAACATCATTATCGTCCCTTTATATAATCAGTATAGTATATAGGCGAAAAGCCGATGCATAAGGAAGTAAACAAGGCATCACCGGTCACGTCAAATGGAGTCAGGAGAATAGCTTGTAAAGAACATTATGTGTTTTTCTAAGCACAGACTACCAAAGAGACGAGTCATGAAGCAAGACGAAAAACAACCATAATAGAAAGTGAACCCGGAGAAGACAGCCGAAGGCATCATCCATCAATACCATCATACCCCAGCCCTCAAAGCATGTACCCGTAGCATGTACCCGTATACATACTATCAATTAGTCGACAGCCCAGCCCGTAGTTGAACGCCTCAAACTCCACGTTCTGCCTCAGCAAGCAAGGGAAATAGACAAAGGGGTATGTATAGAAGCGTGACAGTCATTCCAGTAAGGTGTGTGGACCTGGCTGACTTGCTTTTGTCGAGATCTAAGCAGGCACAGCAGTCACATGTGCGTAAGGGTCACCATCTACTTTTTGACGGTTTTAGCCTTCACAGAGGTCTTAGGCTTGGTAGAGGTCTTGGATCCATCGGTATCCTTGGTCTTCTTAGTAGCGGCGGCCTGTGAGATGAGAATTGTGAATTAGCATCGTATACCGAAATGTATTTATGCGAAGCATATACAGATTGGAAGCAATATCAAGCTGCTAGAGAAGTTTAAAGCATTTGATATGATGACGATGCTCTACAACGCAAGTCTCGAGGCTTAGGAATCGTTGTATAGCATTGATGGCGTGTTTTGGATGATGACTTTTGAGACAGGGGCCCTCGACGCGTTTGAGGAAGATCAAAATAAGAGAGATCGAAACGTACCTTCTTAGCTGGGGTCTTGGTGATCGCAGCCTCGGTTTTCTTAACGACTCCCTTGAGCTGTGGAAATCATTAGCAAAATGCTGATTGTATGATATACAATTTCCTCACCTTGTTTGCCACAGCGGTCTTCTTAGCTGGAGCAACCTTCTTGGTAATACCAACGGGCTTCGAAGCCTTGGTTGTAGCAGCCTTCGGTCCTCTCTTCGCCCCGATGTTCATAGAAGCCTTCTTCTTAGGAGCAGCGATAGTAACTTCGGGGACCGTTGGGAAGATTCTTGGTCTGGCGTTTCCTAGATATATGGTTCAGCGAAGATCAAGGACGTTACGCGCGGAGCTATATCAAGCTTCTAACAGCGGTGGCAGGGGGATTCAATAATTACTGACCGGTTGACTGACGGGTACCTTCACGAGCCATTGTTTTCTATAGAAGAGTTAGCGTCAGTATACGTGGTCGAGGTTTGCGCCGAGTTGGCGCATATCAAGAGCGTCGCGTCTCGAGCGGGAAACAATGCGACCCAAACTCGAGATACACTTACGGTTGGGGATGTGGTCTGTTTGAAAGCGGTTTGAATTGTCGAATGTATCGTCGCACGGCTCAAAGCAAGTCGGGAGGGGAATTTCAAAGTTGTTTGGGTTTTCGTTGGTCAAAAGTTGTTGTTGAGAAGAGGAAGAAGAGAGCAGAGTTGCGAGGTCTTGTTATGCAGACCGATCTCAGGAATCGAGCTAACGGGCTAGCGCGTACAGAGCACCCGAACAACCTCCACCTCAAAAAATATCTCTACAATTATCATCGAACTGTGAGTAACTGAAAGTGTCAGAAATAACCTGAATAAGACTACTAAATGCTCGATTGGAACTTCAAGAGTGTTTTGGCTTTCTATTCTGTTTCTTCTCATCTGTGAGGCCTGTCTGTATTCTAGCTGCCTTTTTTGGACTATTACAACTAAAGTCAGTCCAGGATACACAATCAGTCACCTTTGTCAGCTGGTCCAGAGACTCGGGCCTCCGACCTCGTACTCTGTAAGGACACCTGAGCAAAGCATGAAGCCAGACTTTACTTACGTCTTCAGCAACGTTACCCAACCTTGAGTTGTTGTTGTATTTATTAACGTCGGGCGGTTGAGTTGGGTGCAGGGTGTTGGGTGACCTCAATTTAAGGACTGGCCACGGCTCGTCTCGTGGGCCAAGATGGGATGGATTTGCGGAGCAATTATCCCTTCACGCCTACAGAAGCGATCATTCAGACTGTCTTTTCCTACTACGAGGAAGAAGAAGAAGAAGGGACTGCTATGTAAAATTTGTATGCCCTTGCCTAGTTTGTTGTTAGCGGGCTCGGATAAATATCCTTTTTTCAAAAGATCGCGTGGGTCGATGTTAGGGGCATTACACGCCTTTCTCCAGCGTGAATATTCTATGCAACTCCGGAATCTACTGCAGTGAAATCTTCTCTCTTGAATACAGAATTCTCTGCTTCTGTCCTGTGAGGCACGGGTGACCTCGATAATAAGGATTTAGATCATCTGCAGACCGGTGTAAACACGCGCAGCAGAAACTACGATATGATCCAGCTTACTTGTCGTTCAAAATCACAGGGAAATACGATATTTGGACAACAGCGAGCGTTTGAAAAATAGGCCGGGTAGCAGACGCAGTACGAGAATTGGAGTCCAAAGTCCATAGTGCAAGACGTGCGATAGCTGGGAGATGGTTGTATTTCTCTGAGAACGGGAAGGAATAGATCTAACCTTGCACTTCGCCTCTCCGTAGCTCTCTGATCTTCTATTCCTATCCTAGTCCTACAGAGGAACAGGTCTCCACCAATGCTTATTGTTTGCTGAAGAGATCAGGCTTCAGCCTTCATTTTTTTGAAGAAGTCCATCACTCCCGTGAACACAACCAGCAAGATGCCCCCACCTGGCCCTAATCTGAGAACTTTTGGCAGGAAGCCCTTATACAGCGCACCGAATCCCTCCTCCTTAAACACAGTGCCGACGGCTGGCCAAGCCCAGTTGTATTTTGGAACCGACCCAGCAACCTTGGGGCTGTTCTGGATGCGCGACTTGACCACATCCATAGGCGTGTTGACGATCGTGCCAATTGTACCTCCGGTGGCACCGGAGAGTAGGTCAAAGCCCATTTGTGTAGACTTATTCTCTGTCTTGGGAAGCAGCGCCCGTACTTGGAAAATGCAGCCGAAATAACCGGCGTTCCACAAAACGTGCCTCCACATGGTACTCTCCAATCCGTTGTATAAAGCAAGTGGACCTTCATGTTTGATGGTCTTGACCACGACATCCATCATTCCTGTGTATTTCGAGGTACGATCCTGGAGACGAATCTTGACGAGCTCGAATGGGACAACGACCAGCGCTTCCGTTGCCCCTGCAGTCGCTCCAGTGAGTATCGAGAGGGACTGGTTCATCTTGGCAACTCCGAATGAATCACGGTAAAACTTTCCCCATGAGTCGTTGGCAGCGAATTTGGTTGCACGCTTGGGGGCTTCCATCAGGATGGGAGCCTCGATACCACGGTACAGCCGCGAGAAACTGTCGCATAGTCAGGTATTGGACCTCCTTCAAGAAAGAAGAACATGCCCTTCGTTTCTGACGATCTTTCGGAAACAGTCTATCATGCCACTGTATGCGTTCTCGCCAGTAGCCGTTCCGGATTGCAGCTGTCTACGAGTCGGTCAATCCCGCTGTCCAGACTGTTTTCGACGCGTCGAATCTTACATTCTGGTCTTGACGACATCCAAAGGATACCTGCAGAAAAGTGAGCAATCCGTCACAACGATCGCATGCGCAGAGATGGGGCCCCAGGACATACATCACCAAAATCTAATCCACGTGCCTAATTCAGCTCATGCTCCACTGGGACGAGGAACCCAACTGATGAAAACAAACCTCAGAAACCCCGGCGACCGCACCTGCGTGGAGGTGAGCTTCAATTTGTAGTTGCGCAAGAGGAAGAGGAGCTGACCTGCGCCGAACTGGTAAATGAAAGGCAGAGGCTTGTCTTGAGACATGATGGCTGTATTTCTGGCGCGCAGTCAGCACTTAGAGCCCAAATATGCCGCTAAATCATTGTTAAAAGTTACAATAGGAGTTGTGCTCACCAAGGGAAGGAATTTAAAATCGGTGTCTGGCCATGCGACCGCCGGCGCATCCGCGACAGATAAATAACTCGGAAATTTTTTTGAGCGCGGGCTCGGGACTCGGGTAAATTATAACCCGCAAGGACAAGCGGATAGATCACGACGCGTGAGCGGCAGAAGCGTGTGAATTACGCGTTTACTTGCCGCCGGCCTACAACATCAACATCCCAATCCCATTCACCACTCACCATACCACACCACAACATACCACCCCAAGTAATTTTGGGCCTTATACACGGCGGGCAGTGAATCGAAGAATGCCGATCCAGAAGTCTTTCTCTGACCAGAACCATTCTTCCAAGGCAAGAGTTTCATTTTCTGCTCTCAGAACTCGGGACTCGATGGCTAACTTTGTCGTAGCAGCAAAGGCCACCACACCATCAATGGAACCGCAATAGAACCTTCCAAGGGACGTCCGCAACAAACCTGGAAGCAAAGCCATTACAGAAGAAACCACCGATTCCAGTATCTACAGCCACGAAAAACAAACTCAGTGCCTTCCAATTTGGAGCACAGTCTACAATCAAGAAGGCAACAAATTCGGTGGTAAGTCTGCTTTCAGACGAAGACAAGGAGAATGAAGGGGCAAAGAGCAGGACGCCGCCTGTTGCGGGAACCAAAAACTGCATACCGAAGATATCGCAAGAGCAGCCACCCCTGCCGACGAGGAAGTCAGTACCAACAACACCAGCTGGCAGATTAGCATTACCGGAGTTGCTTGGGATGAAGGACGTGAGACGCCCGCCGCAGAGTGTGTCGCCCGACGAACGGATAGAATGGGACCACAAGGGCAAGGGGCATGGCTCCGCTTTCGGAGGCACCCGAGGAGCCAAAAAGCGTGCACGAAGTTCTTCGCCGACTGGATCTTCACCTGCGCGGGCCTTCAGTTCTCGTCCTCAGGTCGACCCTGGCTCTGATCTATGGGGTCGATACTCTCTAAATGGATCCAATGCTCAGGCCCCTCAGGGGCCAGCTGTCCCAGCATTGGCAAATATCATGCACACCTCGTCGCCACAACATATAAAGGAAGGAACCACACCGCGCGCCGGAGGCGGCTTCAGAAGGGCCAATAGCTGTGGCAACCAGTTTCCTAAACGAAGAAGAACTGGGATCTGCGAGAACGATGATATTTTCACAGAATCGGCTACTATTGGCCCCTCGAAGCTATCAGTCTTGATTGAGAGGGTCACCGAAGGATTGTCACAAGTACCGAAGCAAATGGCTGCTAATCTACATTCCCGGGAACCGTCCGAGGAATCTCGTGATCAACAACTCTCAGAAGCTGACGAGGAGCCGCCAAAGCAACGACGGCACCTCCAGGTAAACCAATCTCATTTGATAGATGGTGATAAAGACTCTGCACCGATGGAAAGTGAGGAAATTGTGCTTCCACCCCTGCCCGAGAACGAAGATACCGATTACGACGAATTTGACGATGACGAGCTCGATGCTAGTCTGCTCGAGATTGTCGGCGCACATGATTTGGGCTCCCGACTTCCTCCAGATCCCTCTCCACCCCCGGAGCGTCCAGTTGCCTCGCGAGCGCCTCCTCAAGCTCAACACACCCCGCGTCTTTTAAAACAAGAATCTATTTATGCCCAGACACCTGTGTCAGCAATCCAAACCCTTAAACTTCCCAAGCCATGCAAAGTAAGCCCTCTCAAAGCCGAGAAGGATGAGCTTAATGATTCCGACGATGAGATTTTCATCGCAGCCGCATCTCAATTTGATGCGCCGGCCCACATTGCAAGCAGAATCTCAAGAGTGGAAAATAGGAGCGCCGGAAAGGCACGGCAGATGAGAAGGGTGCCATCCAAAGCAGAATCTGAGGATGAATTTGGGGATGGCGGACTGGATGACAGCGATTTTGAAAAAGCAGAATTAAATGCGACTCAGGCTATTCAGCAGACCGGAAATAGTCTTTTACCTGTACGTGACAGATTTCTATAGTAATATAACATGTTGCTAAGAATTTATAGTGCACTCAAAAAAAAGCAGCCATCCAGAGGTATCTTGTCACCAACGTCTTGGAATCGGAATATGAAAACGCTAAAGGTCGAAAGCAGAAAGAGAAGGTCACAAATTCCCGTGATCCGCAGGAGAGAAATTGCTGACAACATCTCCAGGTTCTGATTCTCCAGGTTGAGCATTCTAAAATGACGAAAGTAGTCAACTTGAGAGGCATCTGGATAGATACGCCAGTGGAACAGAAAGCCTTTGTACATGTTATTGGACTCTTCGACTCTGCTGGCAGATGTATTATCGATGACAACGTTAATCTGCTGATTTTGCATCCGGATCATCTTATTTCTTCGACTGTGGTAGCAGATTCTTTTGGATGCACACGTCGTGCGGTTCTGCAAGACAGGATCAAGGCGACCAGCGATTCTTCGGCCCCGTTGGTTTACGGCACAATGCTCCACGAGATATTTCAATCAGCAATGTTGGAAAACCGCTGGGACATAGAATGGTTGGGTGAGCTTGTCGAGAAAACGGCGTTGCGCCATCTTGAGGCCCTCTATACCATCAAAATCGAAGTTCCACAAGCCGTAGAATACTTGAGAAGCAAGATGGCCGAATTGCAGTGCTGGGCTGAATTGTTTGTCTCTTCGCAGCCAAAGGTTTGTTTCAACTTCGTTCACTTTTGCTCAAGCTAACGATTCGCAGTCTCAGGCAAAAGTCCAAGCAGGCAATGGAGAAACAGTCACCATGTGTGTCAGCAAACTCCTAGATGTCGAAGAGCATGTCTGGTCTCCCATGTATGGCCTCAAGGGCAATATCGATGCCACCGTGCAAGTTACCATGCACGATGGGAAGCGGCAACAAACCTTAACGGTGCCATTCGAAGTCAAGACTGGGAAGAGTCCAAGCGCTGCTCATCGGGCTCAGACAGCTCTATACAACCTACTTCTGTCCGATCGATACGACGTCGAAATTGCGTATGGTATCCTGTACTACATGGAAACCTCGGAAACAATCAGAATCCCCGCTATTCGACACGAACTTCGACACATGATTATGCAACGGAACGAACTTGCTTGTTTCGTACGGGAAAAACACACCACACTTCCTACCATGCTGAAGAAGCAAAATATGTGTAATCGGTGCTATGCCAAGGTTCCTTGTTTTATCTACCACAAACTTGCCGATGATGGGAATGGGGAGACCAGTGGCTTGAAGGGCAAATTCGATGAAGTCGTACAGCACCTGGGTCCGAAGCACAAAGAGTTCTTCTTGAAATGGGACGATCTCCTCACGAAGGAAGAGAAGGAGACCCTCAAGTTCCGCCGAGAGTTGTGGACTATGCTTAGTTCAGAGCGAGAGAAGCTCGGCAGGTGCTTTTCCAACGTGATCATCGAGCCAGGCTCGGCATACGAGGAGCAAAACAACCCCAAGATCAACCGGTATAGATATAGTCTGGTCAAGCCAGACCCGCCCCCAGGGTTCTCCTTCCTCGATTCTCAAATTGCTGTTGGCGAGCCTATCGTTATATCTGACGAAAAGGGGCATTTTGCCCTCGCAAATGGATATGTTACTCATGTTCGCAAGAAACGTGTGACCGTTGCTGTCGATCGTCGATTACACAATGCTCGGATTCGTCAACCTGGGTTTGACGAAGCCGACAATCAAGTTTTTGCCAGTATCATGCAAGTAGCGCCTGAAGGTGCCGTAGATGAGGATGCGGAGGGGAAGATTGTGGAGGCTCCCACCAGATACAGACTCGACAAAGATGAGTTTAGCAACGGTATGGCAACGGTCCGAAACAACCTCATCCAGACCATGGCAGATGGCCCATTCGGATCCCGAAAGATTCGAGGCTTGGTTGTGGATCTCAATGCCCCGCGGTTCAAGATGGAGCCTACAGCATTTGTTGTGAAGGATCATGAGAATCTGAATGCTGATCAAAGGAATGCTATCCTGAAGGTAATGAGTGCCGAGGACTACGCATTGGTTCTTGGGATGCCGGGTACGGGCAAAACAACGACCATCGCCCACATCATCAAGACTCTGGTATCTCAGGGAAAGACGGTTCTGCTTACATCTTACACTCATACTGCGGTCGACAACATTCTGTTGAAGCTGAAGGACGATAACATTCCCATCCTACGCCTGGGTACGATCGCAAAGATTGCAATGGAGGTTCAAGAATTTGCAACATTGGCAGTAACTACCAAGACCTCATTCGAGGAGATCCGGAGTGCATGGCACGACACTCCAGTCGTTGCAACCACATGTCTGGGTATCAACCACGCCATCTTTAGTGAGCGTACTTTCGACTACTGTATTGTGGATGAAGCTTCGCAAATCACGCTCCCGGTCTGCTTGGGACCTATTCGTCTCGCAAAAACATTCATCCTTGTCGGCGACCACTACCAGCTTCCCCCTCTGGTAGCAAATGAAGAGGCGCGCGTCGGAGGTCTAGACATCAGTCTCTTCAAGCACCTTTCCGATTCCCATCCCAGCTCTGTTGTCAATCTCGAGCACCAATATCGCATGTGCGAAGACGTAATGTCCCTCAGCAACAAGCTCATCTACGACGGGCTCCTCAAATGCGGCAGTCAGGAAGTAGCCAACAGCACCATCAAAATCCCCACCATGGACAACCTCCAGAACCACCACTACTCGCCTTCGACACTCCCCCTCGCACCCAAGTCCATCTGTCCCGGCTCTATGAGAGGGCGCTGCTGGATTCGCGACCTCATAGATCCCTCCACTAAGGTCTCCTTCGTCAACACCGATCCGCTCCTTCCTCTCTCCCGCGAACAAGCCAAGGGGAATCGAATCGTCAACCCCACCGAAGCAGTTGTCTGCACCCAGCTTGTCGAGTCTCTGCTCAGCGTAGGCGTGCCAGCGGCCAGCATCGGCATCATGACCCACTATCGCTCACAGCTCTCTCTGCTCAAAGATAGCATGCGCTTGCATCCCGATATCGAAATGCACACCGCCGACCGGTTCCAGGGCCGCGACAAGGAAGTCATTGTCCTCTCCCTAGTCCGCAGCAACGAGGCGAAATCTATCGGCGAGCTGCTGAAGGACTGGAGGCGTATCAATGTCGCATTCACACGCGCGAAGACGAAGTTGCTCGTTATCGGCAGCAAAGAAACGCTGATGGGGAAGGGGCCGAACGAGCATGGGGAAGAGGAGATGGTCAGTCGCTTTGTGAAATTGATGGATGAGAAGCGTTGGGTCTATGATTTACCGAAGGGCGCGCTGGAGGAGCATCTCTTCGAGGTGGGGAAGACGCAGACCCAAACTCAGGGTGGTGGGCTCGGGAGCGAGAAAGTGCTGGACAGTCAGTGGGCCGCTGTCACCAAGAACGAGAACGAAGAGAAGAGAAAGGAGACGAAGCGTCTTGCTGCTGCTGCTGCCGAGATTGAGATTGATCGGAAGCCTTCTTCTCATGGAAAGCCGAGGAGAGAGGATACAGGGAAGGAAAACCCGCCGCTGCCGGGTCATCGGCCTCTTGGAAAAGCTCCCGGTCTGATGGGGACCACTAGACAGCCTAACAAGAGGACGTTTGGGCAGAAGCCGTTCAAGGCGCCTCGGATGATGAGCGTGCTTGGGGATGTACTCAATGAGCTTTCTTAGATGGGGTTTGGATGGCGGAAAAGGAGTGGTTGGAATATCGGTGTTGTATACTGCTTTATGCATCATTTTTAGGAGATTGGGAGTCGGGCCACTATAGGACTAGAGCAGGCGAAGGCGTTCAGGGTACCTTTATTTTTTGGGCATGATTAGAATTGTATGCCATAGGGCCAATATTTTTTATTGGCGAGTTGAGGTGCTTGCTTGGATGGAGTGTGTAAGAGCAGAGGGGGCTAGGCTTGGTTAGATTCGGTAGACAGAGAAGGGGGAAGGGGAGGGGATGAACAAAACGAATCCAACGAGTCGAACTACAACTTACTGCCTGTGTCTTATCCTTCATTCTCCTCAAGTTGAGCTTTTCTTTTCCCCATCTAGGTACATACCAGCCTCCGATCTATTACAGGTGGCATCGTCCGAAATCCAATTCCATAAACTGGTTTACCTTATGCTGTGCTACAAATACGAAGACCAAACCCACGAGTCAGAGTTCAACGTTAGTTGCGTCTATCTGTCGGTCTGTCTGTAGATGACTCTTACTTACTTACATACTCTATCTTCAAGTATGCTGCTGCTTATACTGCTTAGCCAAAGGGGATATATATATACATATATACTCTTGGAGATGAGAGATGAAGCAAGCCTCGAAGTTCTCGAAACGAACCTGAATTTAGAAAAAAAAAGAAAGAAAAAAAAGAAAAGACAGACAGAAACAAAGACAAAAAAGCACGCAAATACAGTTCAATTTAAGCAGTCCCGGACTCACTCACCCAGCAGAGAGAGGCACTCACTCACTCACGAACTAACAAACTCACTAACAACTTATCAAGTAAAGCAAGCAAGCAGTTGAATCTCCCTCCCTCCTTCCGTCCATATATCGAAAAGAAAAGAAAAGAAAAGCAGAAAAGCAGAAAAGCAGAAAAGAAGAAAAGAAGAAAAGAAGAAAAGAAGAAAAGAAGAAAAAAAAAGGAGGGGCTTCCGCATATCGCAGCCAGAGCTTGAAGCTGAAGCCTACCTACACACACAAATATATACATACAAAAGATGTAAGACTCAAAGGAAGGGAAATCATGACAGAGAAAGAAAGAGGTAAATTCCCCCTCCCCCTCACCCACCTCTCCACCCCCTCCCTCTTCCCCGTGAGAACTAAATGCTATTCTTCGAATGGTCCAGGACACCTCCTCGCTCGACTACCTATCGTCCGACTTATTAGCCCAGATCAGCCACAAGAGACACCATCAGACTTCTTAGATTAGGCTGCCAATTTTGCCCACCGGGAGGCAGGTAACAGCGAGTGCCTGTTTAACCTGCGGGCTCCCTCCCGGTTTCTGACTATCAAGCTCCCCCCAACTTCAATATCACAGCGATCGGGAGGCGGTTTTTTTTATTATTATCCATTAATTACTAGTCCTAGGCAAGGCGAAGAACTCGCAATTAAGTAATAGGCCGTCTACCTAACCAGGTGGAGACCCTTACTTGAAGAATAGTCCATCCAAAGATTTCATAGAATCGTCCTCTCCCTTCCCAATGTCATGAATCATGAAGGGCAACGAAAAGTCAAATCAAATGACGCCCCCGGCCATCGAAAAAGACTAGTAAACGCTTCCGAATGTAATATGCGCAAGTCAACAACATCTCGAAGTCCAAGATCACAATATCAACTCCAAAGTGAGGATTAGAAGATGTCAGAGTGACGGCGTGGCTTCTTCACAACACCACCGGTCAGAACCTCTCCCTCTCTCTTGTAGTCTTTGCCTCCAAGAGTGGACTTGACTCGCTTGCCATCCTCCGATTGGTCGAATGGGTTGACAGCTCCTTTGGAGTATCGGTGGCTGCGGACCAGTGGGGAGTTCAGGAGGGACTCATCATCGCTGGCTGCGTCGGCTGGGGAGTTGCTCATATCAACCTTCTTGGAGCGAGTTGTGCGAGCGGTTGTAGGTGGGGTGAATGGTCCAAATCGGGGGGCTTTTGGGGTAGCAGCGGCCTCGTCAATTTTGTCAACTGGAGTAAGTGAGCCGGCAAGTTCCTCGACATCGGTATCAGCTTCCTCAGAGTCCTTGACAGCCTTGGCGCGAAGTTGGTCGGCGTTGGGGAACAACAAGCGTGGCTTAATGCACGAGCGGGTGAGAGGGCGGCGGAGGTTGGAGGTGAGAGTCATGTCGTTAGCAGCTTCATATTCCGAATCAGACTCGTCGTCTAGTCCTCCCTCCTCTCCGTTGACATCCTTGAACTTTCTGAACACCTTTTTGCCACGGCTAAAGCACTGTTAGCAGGGAAGGAAAAAACCAAGACCAGAGTCACTCACAATACGTAGATCATGCCATCAGTACGTTTACTAAGCTCCGCAATTGATTGCTCACCCTCGCCGGGGACATTGATCATGGTGTGCTTCTCTTGGTAGGCCTTCATTGGATCAGGAGCAGGGGCCGGGAACGGAGTTTTGCTGTAGAACGGGTTATCGGCGCTCAAATCGACCTCAGGAACACGGTCGCGGAAGTCGGTGTAAATGTCAATCCGAGAACCCTCCTCCTCCACAGTCGCAAGTGAAAGCACCTTGTACTTGGGCTTTCCTCTCTTCGGAGTGGGCATAACTTCGTCGTCGGAAGTGGCGGCAACGGGAAACAGAGTGCGGGCGACAGAGCTGATATCTGGATCGATGTACTCTGGTCGATCGACCGGGGTCTTCGATGGTGTGGGAAGCATGCCGGCGGTGTTGCGAATAGCACTGGGGGGTTTGGTTGTTGATTTTTTGGTGGAGGTGCGAGGGGTTCCAAGCCCAAGGGAGGAAGCGGCGGAGAGGGTGGTGTCAAAGGTGAGGGCGCCAGAAACGCGTCGCTCACTAGCGTTGTTTTGATGAGTTCGCTTTTTGTTCGCGGTTGGGGGGAACGAAGATGGAGCGCCCAGATAGGAGACTGAGGGTTTCTTCGGTGTTTGGCGAGCGGCGGGGGGAGGAGTCTTTGCCTCGCGAGATCGTTGCATTACCCGCGCGGACTTGCGAGGAGTGTATGGCTGGTAGTCATCCTCGTAGCCCCAACGAGGAGTATCTGGAGTTCTGATTGAGGACGAGCGAGGTGGCGTGCTTGGTTGGAATGCGGTTGCCATCTTAGCAGGTCTATTCGTAGGGGTTGTTGTGGTTGTGATTGATGATAAGTTGGAGTAGCGGGCGCGAAGGAAATCTGCGATTGCAAAGGTGATATGGAGCCTGCAGACAGACTAAGCAGACTGCTGGTCTCGTGACAAGAGTCAGAGATTAAGCTGAAGTCGAAATCCAAGATGGGGGTAGAAGTCGTCAGGAAGGGATGGCCTATCCGGAAACGCTGAGATGAGAACTGGGTAACTGTAATAATAACGCGATGCAGACAAAGCAGAGAGCGCAAGGGTAATCGCGATGTCGTTTGCAAATTGTCGCAAGTTGTCGGAAAAAGCAAGGTGAAGGTGAAGGTGTGGTGGTGGTGGTGGTGGTGGTGGTGGAAGTCAGGTCGAGGAGGGAGTTTGAGATGATCGACTTGAGAGGAAAACCGGGAGGTTGAAGTCGAAGTGAAGTCAGTCGGGCGAGAGGCTGGGGCTAGCGGAAAAACAAAGCTAGTGACTAGCGTCCAAGGGACCGGCTAAAGCTCGGTTGGTGCAATGTCAACAAGAGGTACCAAACACAGACGCGCCTTGCTTCATAATTTCCTCTTTGGGCCTCTTCTTGGTTGCTACCACATCAAGCGCATCCTCTCAAAACTCAACAAAGATGTCCACACCCGACATAGGGAGGTTGGATCTTTCAGAACCAGAATCAGAGAACGAAGACCTCTTCGCGTCCCCTTCTCGTGCCTCCAAACCAAGCCAGAAGTCCCCCGCCAAACAGCCCGAGAGTAGTCTTGCGCCGGCGCAACGGAGCGGCGAGTCCAAATACGATGCCGAGCAAGCGCGAGAGGTTGCCCTGCAACGCGAACTGGAGGGCGTAAGGAACATCAATGAGGTCATCGAGAGGGTAGTTTCCAGCCTGGAAACGGCGAGGGGAAATATGGATGTAGGGCCTTCTGTTCACCACATGTATACCTCAAGCGCGCTCAATTGACCATCATGACAGACGGTTTCGCGTACAGTCACATCGGCATCTACACTGCTTAATACCTGGACCCGGATCCTCTCACAAACAGAGCACAACCAACGGCTAATCCTCAATCCCAACTGGCAGGGCGCAAGCCAGGATCTTGCAGACATGGAGAATGACTTGGTGCTGAAGGCACAGGCGGCTGAGAGGAGGGCGGCAGAGGAGGAGAGGAGAAGGGAAGAAACTAGACGTAGAGCTGAGGACGAGGAGAGACAAAGGCAAGCTGGGACAGCTGTGCGGGGTGCACGGGGAAGAGGTAGAGGCAGAGGAACGAGGGGTAGTAGTGGATATGGTGCTGGGGGGAGCAGCTTGAGCGGATCGTCGCGGGCAGGGTCACAGCTAGGTAGGAGCGGAATTGGCATTGGGAGGGGGGTTGGCGGTACAAGAGGAAGGCCGAGGGGAGTGAGATGAGTGATAAGATTTCGCATATTAAAAATTAAAATGCAAGATACTGGCCCCTCATTATCCATGATTCTCGGAGCGTGAGGACGATTCATCGTGGCAATGCTTAACATGGAATGTTGAACAACATCACAACAGCCCTGCAAAGATCATCTTGAGATCAAGAGCCAACTCGTATTAAGTATCCGACATTATCCTAGATCTGATTCGAAAATAACCTAATAGCCAGTGCGTGTATTTGTTCTATACAAACCCATGTTTTATACTCCAAACCTCCCAAAGCAGCCAGTCCTATACGCCAGACAATGCTTCCCTCCAGATACCGGTCACTTTTTCTTGAAAAAGTCACTCATCTTCTTCATCCCACTCGTATTGACCTTCTTCAGTTGCTGTACACCTCTGCTCTGATTTGCCTTCTTTTTCTTGTCCTCTTCATCCTGCTTCCTCTTCTTCTCAGCACGAGTCTCGCCATCTTCAGCGGCCATAGAGCGTTTCCTGGAGAAGTCGCCCAAAGATCTCGAAGCTAGAGCATCTTGCCGTAGCTTCGCCAGATGGGCAAGATGCGCATCCAGAGGTGCGAAATCGATCGTCGATGTTGTTGATGATGAAAGTACCCTCTTCAGAAGTTCCGTGACATGAGGCGCGATATATGCTGAGCAGATGAAGAACAAAGCGGTGCGGATTCGGAGCAGCTCAGCGACACCGTCTGGGGCGTTGATCATAGCCAGCTCTTTCTGTTTCTCGACTGCTCCGATCGTTGGCATGTGTTCTAAATTCGAAGTCGCTGCCGTCGATGCTTCCGAGAAAGAATTCGTTGCTGTATCTGCTGTATCTGCCGTATCTACTGTATCTGCTGTCGTCTGTGTACCTGGAGTTGCTGCCTCTTCCTCCTCTGCTGTCCCAGACAGCGAGCTAGCATCCCGTTTCATGCTGAGCATTGGTGCATCCAGGGCTTTCCGTACAAACTTCTCTTCCATACTTGCAGGCAGCCCCCTTTCCGTCATCCTCTTCGCTTTCTTCAGCAGCTCGCCCAACAGCTTCTCTTCGCTCAAGCGGTACATGATCTCATCTCCAGCTTCGACTGTATCACAAACGGAAGCCATTCTTCTTTCCACAATGGCTCGAATTGATTCCACTCGAGAGAAACTTGCGAAATGTGGTGAGACTTTGGCCATCTTTTCCATGTAATCGTAGCAAGAGAGGAATAGCTTCTTAGCCGGTCCCGACGCTTTCTCGGTTGGTAGAGGAGACAGGGCCGACAGAGCCATGAACAGAGGATCAATTTGAGTTGCGACCATCAAATTCGCAGTGTTCATCACATAGCCATTAAGCTTGTCGCTTTCCTTCTCCTTCTCCTTCTCGGTGCCCGCTTTCTCCTTTACATCCTCTCTAGCTTCCGGAGACAGCAGCCAACTTCGGGGTGTCGTCTTTGGCGTAGCGACCTTGGTAAATTCATAAAAGCCGTTTTCGGGGCAAATAACGTATCTGTCATGGCTGAAATATCTGGGATTTTCGAGAGTGACTATACGAGCATCTTTACTAAGATTCTTGGGCAGCACGAGGAGATGTGGAGGGTTGGTGGATTCTGTGCCCAATTGGACCTTTGCAGCTATCGACTCGGCGGGCTCGGATTCAACTGCTGTTGTTTTCGTCGATGATCTGCCCCGGGTCTTCATTTTGCCAAAGTGCGGTACAAAGGACGGTGTTGCTATTCCGATGTGCAGGATTTCAATTACTGCGCAATACTTCCTTAAAGCCAAGTCGAGGAGACGCGACTTCACAGACGCGACGCGGCTGAAACACGATCGATGCATCGTAGATTATGGATTGTGGAAAGAGCTGCTTACGACGGGACAACCCTTTTTCTTCTTTTCTTTTTTTACAGAAAATATCACCACTCAAGCTAATCCGTGTACCTGGGAAAGGTCACACACATCCCTCTGACCTATACGCACCTCATGTTCATCGATAGATCTTTTGCGCAATTATCATCCTTCCTCCCAATTTCATGCGTGGACCTGTATCTTTTCGACCCCTGCATCGCGACCTACATGCATCAACATTCATAACGTCGTGGGCGCTGCATACATAACGAGGTACGAATGGCACCGCCGGACTCCTGTTATGTCTCGACGTGAGTGCTGTACGAGAAACTGCGAGTACGCGACTGACGAGATCCTATCCAGCCATGGCAAATCCAGAATGGCCCCCTAGATCTCCCCATGATGTCCTAAAAATAAGCACCCCAGGAAGCCGCGATCGACTTCGACGTTTGGCAGGTCGCGTCTCACCTTCGCCGTCGCCATTGAAGCGTTCAACGATGTCTAGGAATACGGGAAAACAGCTTATGGGGTCCGATGCAGAGGACGATGAGGAGGAGGACGAGGAGACACTTCAGTTGCAGTTACAGGAGATACAGGCGCGGCTGAAATTGAAGAGATTACAGAAGAGATCAAAGCAGACCTCAGATACAGAGATTGAAAGTTCCAGGGCGACATCAACACAATCGGACAGGTCGAAATCCGCTCTAGCAAGCCGGGCTCAGTCGAGACGAGCTGAACGGAGAGATGAAATGCTGGAGAGGTCCAGACCAGCACCAGAAATACATGTGCCGGTATCCCCGATACGAAGGACGCAGCCCCCGATTATTCAGCGGTCCCCTGGAAGAGTGCTGCTAGGAATAGACAAGGGACTCAAAGGGAGCGACATATCTCTCAAACGAGCGCCGAGTCTGAGGAAGAGAGACGATATCTCCCAGGATAGGTTTGCAGGACCCTTTCTACAAAGAACAGGCTCCCCAGCCAGCAGCCGTGCCAATGGAGCAACGTCTTCGCGGAGTACATCCAATGGGGAGCGAACGATGTCGTTTAGCGAACGTATGGCAGCAGTCAGGTCAGAGGAGGCTAGCAAGCAGGAGAGGGAAGCCCGGATCAAGAGGAATCGAAGTACCGGATTCGATGTTGATCACCAGAAGATGCAAAGTTTCAAGGAGAATGCGGTCGAACTTCCAGACAAACCTCGAGAAGCTCCGCAGTTCAGCAGAGAAGAAGTTCTGGGCATCAAACCAAGGGGCATATCACCTAGCAAAAGTGCTCCACATCTACAGTCCGCCATGAGGACTGTGAGTTCAGACACTACGACTTACAAGTCAGAATCTCGAGCTTCAGCTTCTTCGGCCAAACCTCCGCCACATGTGACGCCAGGCATGGCCAAAAATCCGGAGGAAGTCACGGAGTCTGAATGCGAGGCATCCCAGTTCGAGCCATACTCAGCTCAGCATCTTTCAAAACGGATTATTCCTCACCGGGAGCTTACACGTATGATATCTGGAAAGAAAACATTCCTGATTCCAGATCTACTGAGGACAGTGAAAGCTCCGAATTTTGACGGACCAGATATTGAGGAGGATATGGTAGTGTTTGCCATAATCGCCAAGAAAACGGATCCGAAATCACATCAGCCGAACCCCAACGCAAAAACGCAAAAGAAGGGCAAATTCATGGTTATGGGCCTGACAGATCTCAAATGGGAGCTTGATCTATTTCTGTTTGATACTGCTTTTGACAAATTTTGGAAATACACGCCTGGGACAATCATAGCGATCCTGAATCCCCTGTTCATGCCCCCGCAGAAAGGCAAGGAAGCGACAGGAAAATTCAGTCTGACTTTGAACTCTGACGCAGATACTGTCCTTGAGGTTGGAAACGCTAGAGATCTCGGCTACTGCAAGAGCATCAAGAAGGATGGCAAAACCTGTGGTTCCTGGGTTGACAAGCGGCACACGGAATTCTGTGACTACCATGTAAACATCTCTCTCGACAAGACGCGGGCAGGGCGAATGGAAGTGAACTCCATGAACTTTGGCAAAGGCCGCTTTGCAGGCGGTGGAGGCACGGGCGGACGGAATTTCTATGCCCATACCAAGAAGAAGGAAGAGGAGAAGCAAGTCCGTTATGATCGAGAGAGCCACTCTCAGATCTTCATTGGCAAGAAGAGCACTGTCAGTATGCTCGACGACGTCGACTTCGATCCTGATGCGTTCCACCGCGGCAGCACGAAAGAGGAGCGCATGACTCGGCGCATCTTGGCCAAAGAGAAGGAACGCGAGCTGGAGCGGAAGCTCGCACACATGGGCGACGGCCAGGGCGCAGAATACATGCGTCGGCGAGATTCTGCTGCCGAGGCTCGCAGCGATGTCCAATCCTCACGGCCCGTTTCTCCGCCCGATGCAGGCAAGCTCGGTCTGCTCGGTGGGAAAGCGGCGGACGTGGCCTTGAGCCCGATCAAGCGCAAACGGTCGCACACCATCTCGAGCAGTGCTGCTGTCGGCTGGGGATCGAACCTCACGAAACAGCTGGGGAAGATGAAGGAGGGACAGAATGTCAGCAGCAAGGGTCACGAACCCGTCAAGAAGAAGACGCGGTTCGTCACGGCGAAGGGCATCCGCGAGGCCGGGAGGGACAGCTTTGGGGGAGAGGTCGTTGGCAAGGCGACGTCGACGACGACGATTGATGACTTTAATGACAGCGATGATGATTTGGACATTGTCAGGGAGTGAGTTTGAGTTGAGTGGAAATAATGCTTTTGTGGGTTTTCTGTTTTGGGAGTACCTCGTTGCAGAGAGAGGAATAGAAATTGTTTTGCGCCGATGGGAAGTCGGTAGTACAGTATGCCAGTATCAGACGGTTGGTTGGGTTGGTCGCTGGTTGGGTTGGTTGTTGGTTGGGTTGGTTGGGTTGGTTGGTTGGCTGGTTGGATTGTTCTACTTTTTTTTTGGCTCATAGTGAGCGGGAGGAGGAGAATTTGAAGGGGAAAAAAAAGCCACGGGCATTTTATCTCCTCGTAACTTCTTCTTCTTCTTTTTTCTTCCTCTTCTCATCTGCCTATTCTCATCTGCCTCCCTTTTCCTCTACCTCTCTCCATATCCATATCTTCTTTGAATCTGTCTGCCTGCCTGTCTGTATAGTAAGTAGTAATTCTGTATTCTGTATTCTGTATTCTGTATTCTGTTGAAAAAAGCATATATATATATTTCTATATGTATATATGTATATATGTATGTATTTATATAAGGTATGTATGTATGTATGTATGTATGTATCTTTGTATATATGTAAATTTATCCAATGTCCCTTTCAAAGTATCAAATCATCACACCTATTCGTGTACATACATGCTTTTATATTTTATGCCCTTCTGTCTTTCTTTAAAGCTACCTAGCTACTACCTGTGAAAGGGCTGGCTGGCTGGCTGGCTGGCTGGCTGCGTTTTGCTGTTGCTGCTCCTATCGCTGATCATCGTCTGTCATGAACATGCAAGCACCAGGCCAAACCAGAGACAAGAGAGAGCAAGCGGGGTAAGCAGGCCGAAAAAAAGGCTACGACCAGAAAACTGGATCAATCTCCGTCTGAATGCATAGGTTCATATGTAACACTCACCTCTACATCTAGATACCAAACCAAACTCGTATCCTCATCAAAGGACGCAGATTAACTGCAAAACATGCCCAAGAAAACACCAATCGCGGAACGGGTCCATTTTACTCTCTCCTCTCCTTTTCACTCTCCTTTCCACTCTACTTTTCCACTGCCTTTGGCTTGTCCTCCTCATCAGACTCAGGCTTCAACGCCGGCGTGCTGTCCTCCAAGTCCTCGACCTGGCCTCCAAGCGGCGCAGCATCGAAAGAGCCCGGCATGACCGGCGGCTCATCGCTCTCCTCTACCGGCTCAGCTTCGCTGCTGCCTGCTTTCGTCTCCTCGATCAATGCGCTCTTCTCAATCTCTTTAGCCTCCTCCGCATTATCATCTTCGGTACCCGAGGATGGGGGCACAGATGTCTCAGCACCAGCCGCCATCTCGGCATGCTCATGCACAGGCTGAAAAGTGGTGTTGGTAGTCTGGGTAGGAATTTCCGATTCCTTAGCTTTATTTTCTACTGGCGCTGCTGCTGGCGCTGCTGCTGGCGATCCCTCACGATGAGATGTAACCAAAAGCAAGTCCTCCTCAGGGTCAATCTCCCAGAGTGTAGAAGGTGTCGAGATCGAGAATCCAAGGGCGCTGCTTTTTTCAGTAGCAGGAGGAGCTTGGATCTTAGCAGGTGCTCTGCGGGCTGGTCCACGAGCTCTACCTTTTCGGGCATCGACTAAAGGAGCTTTCTCTTTCACTTCTTCCTCTTCGACAGGCGCTTCTTCTTTCTTAGGAGGTTGAGCACCGATTTGTAGGCGCTTGTTGAGATCTGCCATAAAGCCTCCTTGGAGAGCAGCGATCTTGTTTCCCAAGGGTCTGGAAGGAACGGGTGGTTTAGGCTTAGCAGCGGCTGCTGCCCCTTGATCTGAGCTGATGGATCTCGCCGAAGAATTTGATGCAACTGTAGTGAGAGGTACATTTTCTGAGGATTCGCGTTTAATTGGCTTGGTGGGTCTTGCCGGAACTTGGGGCTTCGCCTTTATGGGGACAGAAGGCGGTGTTCCCTCGGTCTGTTTCGAACGTGGGCGCTCTGGTATCGAAGGTTGTGCTTTCTCTGACGAATCTGCCAATTTCGATGATTTGGCAGGACGGGCTGGGATTTGAGGTTTCGGCATGGGAATGCTAGCGGTGCTGGGCTTGTCATCTGTTGGACTCGTAGTAGAGTCCTTTTCTTCGACTTGGGGGCTGGCAACAGTAGTCTGAAGCTGTAAACTATCGGGCGTATCTTCCCAGATGTCTCTTGATGGGAAACGTTGTTTCGAGAGGTTCGGTCTCGTCTCTGCTTCGAGATGGGCCTTGTGGTCCCATGGCTTCTTCTCTTTCGGTAAGTAGCTATCCGTGGACTTGGATCTTAGAGATTCCTGTTCAGCAAGCTGCTCTTGTCTTCTGGCAAAAGCATGTGCTGGATTCTCATCCTCGGTACTGTCTTTTGACTCCACGTGGTCTTGCTCTTCGGGCAATTGGGGTGTGGAAACCGTGGCGGTGTGTTGTAGACTATTCGGTGTGTCCTCCCCTAGATCAGATCATTAGTAAAGTGCGAACCATCACTCAAGTGGATCCACTGTAAGCGAATACCACGTTTGAATTTCCATTTAGACCCAATTCGAGGTTTGGCACTTACAGATATCCTGCGAAGGGAACCTGCGACCCGTAAGCTCAGGGCGCTTGAGTCTATCAGCAGCGGTTAATGGCTTCGCCTGACTTGCAGCATTCTTCTCTTCCTCTGGGAACAAAGGCTCGTACTCATCCAGATCCTCAAGTGGGGCAGCTGGCAAGCGAAGGCCTGGTACAAGACCATGAATACTGCCAGGACGACTGGAAGATCTGCTGTTGTTAGCACTCGACTGACTGGCGGATCGTTGATGAGAGCTGGCTTCCTCGTTGCCTCGATGATCTTTGAGCGAGGAGACCGCCGGTTCAAGAGTCCATCCAAACGGCTCCTTGGCAACCTCATCTGCAGCCAAGATAGGAGCATCCTCGTACTCGCTCTCGCCACCACAGCTGACTTGACGCTCGAGATTCTCAAGTGATCCGCCGTGCTCTGCTCCGTAGATTCCGCTAGGACGTGCGTCGACGTGAATGACATCATCGTCAACCTCGCTTTCAGTAGTGATATTCGAAGGACCATTTAGACTTCGAGACAGAGTACCCTCAAACTCAGCTTTGCTTACATCTGCAGCAGAGAACTCCTGCTTCAACGGCGAATCCACATGGGCATCTGAGGTATTCGAGTGTACAATTTGAGAGCTCGAAGTCTGGCGAGGGGTGTTCATACGCGAAGCGTATTCCTCACTTGCCTGGATGCCGACTTGCTCGGAGGGAGTCCCTACGAGAGGGGCATTTCCTGTATGGCATTAGGTTTTTGGGATATTTCATGTGCAGTACAAACAGCTGTATTCCTTACCACGACTTGCGGTTTCCCGAACAATCTTGTTCAGATCTTCACTGCTCATCGCCCACTCCGGCCTGCCTTCTCCGTATTGACCTAGCTCTTTCTTGAAAAGTTCAGGATGCTTCTCGTAATATGCCATTTCAAAACGATCGTGGGGGTGGGCTCCGTGTCCGTAGCGACCACTAAGTAGCGATTTAGCAGCGTCTCCTGACTGGACACACTGGACAGGGGAGAGAGATGTCGTTGTTACTAGAAGTACTTACTATGCATCAGCTGGGATATCATGACCACGAGAGCTATTCTTTCGTCCATGGTGTCCAGGCTTCGACCCATCATTATGGAATCCAATGCCTGGAGCATACGGCTGCGCAAAGGGCGAAGGCGAGGGAGCCTGCACATCACCAGCATTCGGGTACATCGGCACACGCTGCCCGATCTCGGGAATGCCATGATCGCTCCCGGCACTCGATGGAGGACGCTCAATGCCGTGCGCCGATCCCTGGCTGGCGAAGCTGGCTTTGGCCTTCAACGGTCTCGTCGCAGGCTCTTTGTCGTCCCCCACAGGCTTGCCAATGCCGTATGCAGCTGCCTGGCCAGAATCAGTGCGTGTGACCATGGAGACTCTCGCTTTCGCGCTGGAGACCGGCAGAGAAGGTTTTGGGGCGTGAAGCTGGAGATCGTTGGCTATGTTGCGAGTTTGTGTGGGAGAGGTGCCCAGTTGTTCCTCGGCAGCTGTCGAAAAGTCCGCGTACTCGTTGCCTTCTTGTCCAATGGATGGCAGGGTCACGACGGAAGGACGAGGAGGGTTTTCGGCAGAAGAGGAACTGGCACTCTCCTTCGAGAGGAGGGATGACTTGCTGGCATTGCCGTGATTTGGGGGAAGAGGGGTTTCGTTGAGCGGGGATCGAGCATAGCTCTCTCTCGAAGGCGAGCGATCAGCACCAGGACGTCGGTTCGCTGGGCGTGGAGGGACCTTTGGAAGGTCGCTGCCCAGAGAGACCTTTGTTGTTGCAGACTGGTCCTGATGGGCCCTAGTAGGGCGAGGAGGGACTTGTGGCATTGTACTAGACATGATGTTTTGCGTAGAAATTTGAGGGTAGGATAGAGTGGAAGATTCGCAAGATTCGGATTCGGATTCGAAAGCTCTAGTCAGATTCTGAGGCTGGATTAGTACCTCTTGGGCCAGAAATGAATGCTAAAAGCGAGTCCATAGGGCGTGCTGCTTCGCTTCTTTGATGGTTCTAATGAGTTGGAAAGTGTACGGAGACGGAGTAGGTTTCCATCGTTAATGGCATGATCATAATCGGTTTGGAGGGGTTGGTGACTTGCCCGCCACTCGGGTCCGGGTCCAGGTCCAGGTCCAGACCAGATGAGCCCTTTGAGACCGACCTTTGTGACGGGTGATGGCTGCCTCGCGTATTGTACTTTGTTTGTACTTGTGCAACACAGCACAGGGACATCTTAGCAAGACTTACCTTGTGGTAGTCTCAGCAGTGGTCGAGATCATACATTGACGCCTGGGCCAGTTGTGGATTGAGTATATGGATATGAATATGTACAGGTTTTGGTGCAGAGGCAGAGAGAGGATGTACCAAGTACGACTACCAAGCGGCATGCAATGATCAAGAAGAAGAGCAAGGAAAGCCGTGCCCGTGCACGGAGGGGCAAATGCTTATAGTTGGACGGGTCTCAAGAGATAGGTAACGATTACTAACGTCTCGATCTGCTTATGTACCGGTATACCAGTTGAAAGTTGTAAGTACGGACGTAGTTGTATAATCGATTCCAGGTCTGAGCCAAAGATCTCGCGAGCACCCCCTAAGATTGTACAGATCTGGCCATCGTTGAACCAAGCGGGCCCTAAGTAATGTAGAGTATGCGGACTTGCGGCTCTTCGAAGCGCAGTATACAACGGCCTTATCTACCCAAGTCAACTGAGCCTTTAAAATCCCGTCTACTTTGATTGTTGATTAACGAAAGGATTGACTCAATCTTTACCCGGGTTGAGTTGAATCGGCTCCGGAATCCGAATCAACGAACTTCCAGAGATGCAGCTTGCTTGGAAAAGGTGGGGCTTTAATATACCGTATCGAGGACACCTTCACTCCGTAGATATATCGAGGACGCCAAGGTGAGCATGATGTCAAAAGCAGCAAATTGGATGATCGGTATATCAAAGCATTGTCCGGATTTAAGGACCCGATCCACTCCGACCCATCCCGACCTGCTATTGCAAGGACAAGTATATATCTATCTACGCTTATACGCTGATCTTTTCAATCATATAATTGTCACCAACGGTGACCCAAGTCAAATTCCAGGATTGGTAGTTGTGGCAAGGGATTGTGGCTGGTAATAATAGCTGATAGTTGTGGAGTTGCTGAGTTGTTAATCACATAGACCTTTTCTATATAAGCTCCTAAGAAAAGTGTGAGCGTGCCAAGACTTTTATTCTGTAATAATCAATTTACTATCTTGGCTTTGTTGTTGTTGTTGTTGTTGTTGTTGTTGTTGTTGTATTTATTAACGTCGGGCGGGTATCCAAAACGCAATGCTTGGACCTTGGGGACCTCCCATAGGGTACGGCGACGTGCTAAGTAAAGGAATTATGTAAACCCCTTAAAAGCAATTCATATTGCTGTGCGTCAAGTCTTCTCTCGATAACTGTCGAATACATGTGGCCTTAAGGGCGGCCTCGATCCGTACAATACAAACATCGTTCTCTTTCGTCGTAAAGCTAAAAAGGCTCACGTTCGTAGCCCTTGCATAAAGCCGGTGTATTTGCAGAACGCTTTATCGAAAGCGCAATACCGTGTTTTCGATCAATCGAACTAAGCCCTTCCTATCCTATCTCTTACACCCGTTACTCTTTTATCGCAAATCTTCTTGGTCTTTTCAATCGGTATGCCCGTCAAGTATAAATCGTAGTCAGCGTAGTATTCGAGAAAAGGGAAAAAAGGAAATTCAAAACCGCCGGTAAAAGATCTCCGCGAAAAGACGTCGCATATCAATTTCGGCTTTCTGAACTCTTTATCTTTCTTTTTACCGCAAGAAAAAAAAGAGAAAGAGAGCTGAAGGTTCGTAAAAGGCACTTCGTACAGGTGAAGAATCGTAGCACCCCATTATCTTGGCCTTTCACAACGGGTCGGCCCGTTTAATTTATATACAATAAGCTAAGCTTAATTATCACCAACGACGACCTAAGATAAGTTATAATAGTAATAGTGATTGTAGCTGATAATTATAGCTGATAATACTTATGATAGCAATAAGTTATCTAATCACGTGAGACTGTTTTCTTTAAGTTTATGTGAGATTCATTCGGTGTTGAGCTTTTTAATCGCTGGTATTTCATTATCTTACCATTTCAAAACATGTCGGCTCGCAATGAAAGAAGTAAAGGAGATTAAAATATGCACAATGCCAAAAATCAATATAAACGCATCTTTTACTTCGTAGATTGATTAATCGATTAATAATATATTTACTTTTTACTTTACGGTCTTTTCGCTACGATTTTATTTTTTGCGATATAAAAACTTCGGTTTGTTATTTTAAAAGTTGCTTATTGTCAAACCTATAATTTATTACTTTCTATAAGGCTCACAATAATAAGGAATCACTCTTCGAGGTTTCGTTAATGCTCCGATGATATTCAAACTGATCTTTAGCCTTCTAAACTTTTAAATTCTATATAAAGTTTATAATAATAAAGAATCATTATTCGAGGTTTTGATAATGCTCGGATAATATTCAGAAAGATCTTGAGCCCTTCAAACTCTTGAACTTGAAGGGATTCTTAAAGAAATACAGCTTGTATAAGATATGTGACTAAGCTAAGCCCGTCGAGCTTTCGATTACCTTCGAATGGAGTCTGCTTTCAATATTATCCTCCTTTCTAAGTGTTAGGAACCAATAGCTGGATAGCTCTGCTACTGTGCTAAACGGGCTCAAGGGCATAATAACTAAAAACGCTTTTCAGTCAGCTGCTCTATTATGTATAAAACTCCACTTAGTCACCTGGTTAAGCCTTCTACTCCTGACATACTTATTTAAGGGGGCTACGATTCTTTACCTGTACGAGGTGCCTCCTACGAACCTTCAGCTCTCTTTCTCTCCTTTTCCTGCGGTAGAGAGAGAGACAGAGAGTCCGGAGAGCCGAAATTGAATCATCGATATGCGATGTCTTTTCGAGGAGATCTTCCTTTACCGGCGGTTCCGAAACTCCCTCCTTCCTCTTCTCGAACACCACGCCGACTACGATCTATGTTCCGGCAATGTGGTCCAGTATATATATGTAAACAAACCACGCAACTGATTAACATATAAACACTTAGGTTCTTCTTTTTTCCCATTCTTCCGCTTCCAACCAGTATTCGGGGGGGAATCGCTTGAATAGAACATAGCCTCTACTCTCCCTTGTAGAAAGAAAGCTTAAAGTCGCATGGAAAGGAAGTGTAAAGTACCTAATCATACATACAGTACGAGCACAGAACACTGAGAACAGACAGAATACAGAGCGCACAGCACCGAGGCAGATCTCCAGGCGCACAAAGACAATCAAGCTAGCTTTCCTTGGATGTGAAAGTGAAACTCGTCAAGACAAGCAAGCAGCAGCCCATTTTTGTGGACAAGCTACACAAGTATCCGTAAACGCCATGCCGCCCAAGCTGCTTCGCAAAGACCCTATTTGAAGACCTTGCTCGCTCTCGCTCTCGCTCTCGCGCTCGCTAGGTCCGTCTACCAGAAAAGATCCATCAATTCGCGCATCCTCAAGAGTAGTCCACGACTCTCCTAACAACTACCACCCATACTGAAAGTTAGTTCGTAGGCAGGCAACCTCCAGATCCACCATCTTCTCCCTCCCCGCACAGTCCATCCCTCGTTGTACCGCGCAGCCTTGGACTCATTTACCGAGTCACTTTAAATGATCATCTGCGCAACACCCTGCCCACCAAGCGTCTTGCTGCCCACAAAGCCCTGACCCTTGACACCAGCCAGCGTGTAGAAGACCGCAGCCAGCGTCAACATGATGGCGGCCGCGATCAGGCTGCTCGCCTCCTTGACAAGGCTCAGCCATTGCACAAGGCCCATAACGCCGTAGATGCCCGCGCGCATGTAGTTGGTGGTGAAACGGCGCATGAAGGAGTCGAACTTGGCGGAGGTAGGGCAGATTCGGAGCAGGAGGGGGATTTCGATGAAGATGATTAGGAAGGAGCTTGCGCTGAGGGGGAGTGTGTGTTAGCCTGGCCTCGGCGAGGAGGGAAAGGGGTGGGGATTTAGAGAAGGCTGGACTTGGTGTGAGGAGAAAACTAACAGGCAGACAGCACCGAAAAGGATCATGATGCTGACATGGAAGAGATGTGAGATTCCGAGGGCGAAGCAAAGGAAGATGCAGAGAACCCCGGTCCTGCCGTCGCCAGAATGTCAGCGCATGAAACCGAAAGTTCTCAAATATATGCGTGGATAAGGCGGAATTCTCAGTTGACTATCCACCATCGTAAAAACCTCTCCCATTGCAAAGCTGCGGAACTTTTCTATTGAGCATAGATGGCGGGATGCTGTTGTCGAGATTGCAGATTCTGGGTATAGTTGCTGGGTATCACAGAAGCAGTAGCTTACCATTGACCGTAGATACCTAGCAAAGGTCAGCAAGCCCATTAATTGTAACCTATCTGCGACCGAGTGCGACTCACTGAAATTCCTCGTCGCAAACTCTTCAGCGATCGTCATTTTGCCTTTTTTCTTCCGGGATCGATTGTCGATGCAATTAGGACAGGTAGGCTCTGAGCTATCTTGAGGCCAGGCAAATCAAGCTGGCTACGAAATTTTCGCGAAAATTCTGTGCGCAATAGATTGTTCAAACCTTGCGTGGAGTTCTGAAGTTGTGGGATAGGTGCAGGATTTCGTGGGAATGTTTGGTCGGTTTGGGGAAACGTGGTACTAGTTTCCGACCTGAGCCGTTCCGTCGTGGCGTATTAGGCCGCGTCTTTAGCGTGGCTTTGATGAGGCTGGGGTACTTAGGCAACTGTAAGTTGAACAACAATATTTCTGAATGAGTGAAGTTTCATGTTTAATTGCAGTGTGAATCGATATGTGAGAGCGAGTGGATATATAACTCCTGGAAGCATATATTATTCCCAGGAAATTTGAAATTTTTGAATAATGTTCTCTCAAGTGCCAGATCTTCAAGGGGACTTGGGGCATTGTTAAGTTTCGGAAATCTCGACTTTCTCGAGAAGCCCGAGAAGCCAGTATTTATTTCGAGCACCGCTGGTTACAAAGTACGATCGTGAGATTACGCAATTCATGCGTCTTCACGATTTTCATTTCGATGGCTGTGCAAAGAATTTCACCTTGACGTCAAAGAAGTCGCGTTGAATGCGAGGAAGCCTGATGGTTGGCAGAATTTCATCACGCCCCAACGCACAAGAAGAGACCAAGCAACTCAGTTGTTGCTTGATGGGCGAGCTCACTCAAATGCCATCATCGCTAGAAGAAGAAAAAAAAAAGGTTGTCTGCCAGGCAAATCTACTGCCACATTTCTCTCATTCCTCCAGAGGTTTTGGTATAGTGCTTGCAAAAAAGGATTATCATCCACCGTCCCAAGCCCCTTCCTCGTGTACCCAACATCATCCTCTGCCGCTCCCTCATCCGAACACCAGCTTGAAGACATCATTAAAGATGAAGTAGCTGCCTTGACCATCGGGCATAAGCTGGAAAGCCTGGCTGTAGTTCATCGGCCTCTGCTCTTCATCAACCTGCATTTCCGTGTCAGCCAATCACTGCCTGATGATTCGTTGTCCATGCAGCATACCAAGAGGGCACCGGTAACGAGAATCAGAATTCCACCATGGTCCCCCGAAGGTTGCGCATCGAGGGTGGAGACGGCGTGCTTAACTTTCACAAAAGGGAGGGACTGCGCCATGTCAAGTCAGCAGCTGCGATATCCAGAAGAGCATGCATATCTCACTGAAAGTTTGTCAACGATCCCGCCAACTCCAGCGATGGAGGATGACTCGAAGGTCAACATGGAGTTGTCTCGCTGATAAATGTTAGCGCAAGTCTTATAGCATGTTCCCCGGTGTAATTCACGTAGAGAGGAGCCAACTGCTTTCTATCCTGATCGAACTGGTTGTAGTAGTACTCAGTGAACTGCTCTGTCGGCGCAAAGAATCAGTATTGGGTTCTGTGCCTCCAAATGCTTTCGCCTGGCTTCATCCAGCCATAAAAATTGGGGTCTTTTATTCTACGAATGTGGCGACAACGAAGAGGTCGTATCACTCACTTGCGATACTCTCGAAGTCTGGCATAATGAGTTAGCAAACTTCCATCGCAATTCAGAGCACAAGCAGATTGATAAATATTGGTCTCATGAGATGCCGAAAACTTAAATGAGAAACTGGATATTTTGCATACCTGCCATCTTGAGGATTTTCGGGCTGTCTGTTCTGGAAACGTACTTGGGCGTTCTTGCGTTGCGGTTGAGGGGTGGATTTGGAGGGGTAATTTTACCTTGCCTTACATGCGGCTCGAGCTCACGTGAGGGAGCTAACACTAGCGCCTTCTCTTGAAGTTATAAGTTTAGATTCTCACACTAATATTCTCTTCCGATTCATGTCTCGACCAGTTCGACTTCCTTCCACCTCCACATTTCCTTGGGCCTTTGTGAGATATCTTTGATCTGCAGGTCCCTTTAATCGTCCCGAGCCATGCTCTACTAATTCCAGGCCTCGGTTTGTGATAGGTCTTGTGGTATGTTCCCATTTACTCTATATCTCGGTCCTGCACCTGCTTTCCCTGATGATCAAACTCGCTCTTAAGAACGGCCAACTGAAGAGAGGAGCCTTAGAAACTCCTCTTCGTGTTGTTTAACTTCAAGCTCAACAGACTGAGACCAAGCACATCCCCTCTCAATGTCTCGGATACCTGAAGGAAGCTATCTCTAACATGATTCGATAGATCAGAAGTAAACTCGAAACTCGCCAGCTTGCGTATCGTGTACGGCAGGGCTCGAGTGCACGGGAAGGTAAACGGAGTACAAGTGTTGCCCTCGGGGGTAAGTGCTAGGTGGATGGCACATAAAGGGATCCGGGGTTGCGGTTGGCGGTTTGCGGTTTGCGCCGAGAACAATTTTAGATCGAAAAAAAATCTAAAATAAATCCTATCTTTCGTGATTCCAACAGATGACGGTGTCTAATGGGCTTGCGGTGCAAGCATTCTTGAGAGATTGTGACGAAGGTGAATGGGTGGGAATGAGTGCGATACGGCCCAGTACGTAGCAATGGTTGATGACGGTGATGTTGAGCCGAGAGCCGCGAATTCGTCGAGCTAGCTCGCTGTAGCCTATCTGCCTTGGAGGCTTTGAGGTCCCCGACGTTTAGATCTACCCGCCTCAAAACCTTACCCACCAAACATCACACAAATTCTCGAGAAAGCTACGAGAAAGTCTTTCATGCAGGTGGAGTCGCGGTCGTCCTTTATTACCGCGCCTTTCACCTGAAGTAGAAACTAATTACTGCGTCTTCAGCCTCATCAGCCTCTTCTCGCTGCGACCTACCCTACCCTACCCACCCCCACCTCGACATCTCGTCCTTTCCCACGACTCCGGACTCGAACAAATACATACCGCATCTATCATATCATTCGTGCAGCTTCGGTTGCCGCAGCACTTTGCTGACACGAAATGCCTTGCTTCAAGGGTATCGCTGTCAGCGTCCACGCAGAAGGTGCTCCGCTCCCAGAATATTCTGTGCAGAAGCAGTCGAGAGTCTCGCGGATCAATACCTACATTCCCGTACCCAAGGCGAAGATCCCAAAAGACTCGTCCTCCGACAAGCCAGAGCCATCCAAATTCGCCATCTCCATCACCCTCCTCGTCCCAAATCTCTCTGTCCCATACTCCACCCCGAAGCCCACGGCAGAGAACCCGAACCCCGTTGGCCAACTCGTCGCAGATCTTCCGGGCAACCCCTCGCAAAGAGGTGGAACCGTTGTCCCGTACATACCCCTCACCAAGTCCGAAAATGAGACCATTGCTGCCTACATCTACTTCGACGGCCGAGCCAAAGAGGAAGTCGCTACATTACTGCGGCCTGGCGAGGAGACTTGGGTAAATTCACGGTGGGTTCAGGTTCCCGAGAGTGAGGGTGGTGGTCTGGCCGAGAGAGAGTTCTTGTTCCGCGAGGTGGGCCTCGAGAGATGGCTGAATGGTCTGGACCTGGATGGAAACGATGCTGCCGCAAAGATTGAAAAGCGTAGACAGAAGTTCGAGAAGCGCCGCAGACGTAGGAGAGAGGCAAACGCGAGCGACGACGACCTGCATCTAACGAGAGGGGATAGACCGGCTACGTTTGGAGGCAGAGAAGTACTGAGATACGGCGATGACTCGAAGTCTCCGATGGAAAAGCTGGATGATTTTGACGACGATGACCTAAGTTCAGACTCGGACGATGATGTACCAGAGGCTGCTGGACAGATCAAGGTCGCAATGTTCCGCGTGATCGCATCTGGCGAGATCAAGAAAGGCGAATACTCACCGCAATTCGATGCTCATGATGATGACGAAGAGAAGGGTAATGGCGAGGAGGCAAACATTGATCATACGACAAGCTTTGCAAAGCCGAAGACGTTGGATCCCAAGTCGATCAGTACACAAACCGTCACAGGAATCGATGGACCAGACAAGCCTTTTGCAGTGTTCACGTTCTTCTACAGGGGAGAGAGTAAGTTTGGATACTGTTTTTCTAACAGCAGAGCTAATGATTCTTCGCGCAGAACAACTTCAAAAGATGGGTATCTTGAATGCTAAGCAGCAAAAGGGTACACCTACTGCAACTAAGCGCCGATCAACCCAACTCGACTTCTCAAACCTTGCTCCTTTGAAGCCCGGTGGAACAGTGGGATTCTCGTCATTCAGAGACAGCGATTCTTCTGATCGAAGAAATAAGTCGAGAAAGAAGAGCAACGGTAGCAATGGACCCGGAGCCATGGTCGAAGATAGCGACGATGATGATGACGAGGTCGAGATTGTAGGAAAGATGGAGGATGTTGATGATAAGGATGTGAAGGCTTCGCTGAGTCCCGAAGATGCCAAGTTCTCTGGGGAATTGGCGGATGGCGTAGGTAGAATCAAGGTAAGCACTTTCTCCAGAGGTTACCACGCTCTACTGACAAGACATTACAGCTCAAGCGTCAACATTCTGTGGAGCCTCTGAACGCAAATTCTCGCAAATCACCAGCCTCATCTACCTCTACATCGCTTGGAGCCACCCCACCAGCCGAGTTACCAGCCCTAGCACACGGTGGCCCTAACGTATTTGGAGGGCTGCCAGCTGAAACTGCGATGGGAAGCCCTCTGAAGAAGCAGCGGGCCAGTCTATACGATATCGATAGCGAGACGGTGAAGCAACGATTCGGCACTGGCTTCTCTTCATCAGGTGGCGATATTGTAGCTGCGGCCGAAGCTGCCCAACAGCCCCTGCCCGTTGATGACAAGATGCAAGAAGAAGACGAGTTGTGAAGTATAATTCACGTGCAGGTGCATTTATTGGACCGAGTCACCAATTGGCCATCCTTGCTTGGTTTAGAACGGGCTGGAAAGGCGGATTGGAAAGCAACGCATTTAGATGTGGTGTGGAATTTCTACTGAGACTAGGAGGGCAATGCTTGTGGGCTACCAGGTGCACTGCTGAAGATGCACCTTAAAGCCATTGTAACAACCAAGGTACTTTGAGAAATACCCCGGGAATCGGAATTACCAATTGGTGATATTCTGGCGCCAGGGTTAGCAATTAGGTAAAGGCAAAAAGCACTCATGAACGACATTGATTCCAGACAGCTTCATGGTGTATGTAGCCTGTACTCCGTATGTACATCTGCTGCCGGATGGTGACTTTGTCATGGATGGTTGACGTGCGAATAGAGTGGTAAAGCCCTGGCTCGATACTCCGTTCGTCCGTACTTACAGTAAAGCTTTCATGCACATACGGGGGCGGGGGATCCGGACGGAAAGCTTCTACTTAGATAGACCTTTCTGCAAACATGACGAGGAACAAAGTGTATACTTGTATATACTTTGTTCCTCAAATTCAACTTCAAATTGAAATCTCAAGTTCAAACTCAACTTCAACTTCAACTTCAACTTCACCGATCTCAATTTCCGCTTCTGCATTGTTTGGCGAGGGGCCTTGCAACATCGAGCCTCTTTTTGTACCACCATATCAATTTCCCTGCCTTTGTGATCTCACCCCACGTTCAGTAACGTTAAACATCATCAAAGTCAAAATGCGTGCTCGATTGCTTCCCTTGGTTTTTCTGCTTCCTCTCCTGTCTTTGGGAATTTCGCCGGTGCAGGAGGTCCTGAATGTGGATGCGAGGGCAAGCCCGCTCGATACGAAGTTGAGGCAGCTTGTCCACGAGTCGATGGAGGAATGGCACGTTCCTGGGATCTCCATTGGTGTTGTTGACGGAGATGAATTTTGGGCCGAGGCAAGTGAGCTCTGAGTGCTCAGTCTCTTGTTACCATGTCATGCCATCAGATGACAATGCAGCTATAAAACCAAGAGATGTCTGCAAGCTCAGCAATCTCATACTCCTGATTCAAAGCCACGGCATCATTGCTCACAAACACCCAGGGTTACGGCATAGCAAGCTTCCCAGACACGCCCGTAACGCCCTCAACGCTCTTCTACGGCGCCAGCACAACCAAAGCCTTCACTTCAGCCGCCCTCGCCCTCCTCATCTCCCACCCCACTAACTTCACCTCTCTATCTTGGAAGACGCCCGTTTCTTCCCTTATCCCTTCAGATTTCGTCTTGGAAGATGAATGGGCCACTTCTCACCTGACTATCGAAGACATCTTGTCCCACCGTACCGGCATGCCCAGGCATGATCTCAGCTACGGGGGCCATTACGAGGGGCGCAATGCTACGCCGGAGGATATTGTTAGGGCGTTGAGGTATTTGCCTATGACTGAGGAGCCGAGGGTGAGGTGGCAGTATTGCAACATGATGTATACTGCTGCTAGCTATCTATTAGAAACGCTGACGGGTATGTCGCTGGGTGACTTTCTGAGAGAGAGTATTTGGGAGCCATTGGGGATGAGCTCTACGGTGGGTGTGATGTACCTGGCTTGTCCACCACCTTGGGACATTCGGGAATCCGCTAAGGAAGCAGAAGCTAATAAGATCTAGTACTTCTCTAATGAGGACGCATTTGCTTCCCCGTCCCATCTTGCTCAAGGATACGTCCACCACAACGGTACTTACCAGAAAGTGCCGTACATGGACACTCGTCCAGTCTCCGGGGCAGGCAGCATCATCTCCAACGTCCAGGACTATTCAAAATGGCTACACGCCCTAATCAATGAATCTCCCCCAATCCCAAAAGATGCCTACAAATCTCTCTTCACACCCCGTATGCTCATGGATAGGAATGATGATTCGCTTCTGCCTTACACTGGCCCCGAATCATACTCGCTAGGCTGGGTCACATCAGTGTACCGGGGCCACCAATTCTATGAGCACAGCGGAGGTATGGAAGCTTTCGGGGCCCAGATCATCTTCTTCCCCGAATTGAAGTACGGACTTTGCTCTTTTGGAAACACCGGAGTCACGAGCAATAACGTGGAGTTAAAAGCCATCTGGAAGCTGATCGACGATAAGCTGGGTGTGCCGCCGAAAGAGAGGTTCGACTGGGACAAGAAGCAAGTCACCATTTTCCCCTTCTTGGTGTAATCTTTGCCTGGCACGGAACAGTAATGACAGCCGGGGTAGGTTCCGAAAGCAGATGCAGAGCGGCAAAGAGCAATACGACAACCGGACAGCGCAATACTACCCGAAGATCCCCTCGCCACCACTGCCTCCCACGCTCCCGCTGGAGGATTACGCAGGCACCTATTTCCAACCTGCATACCGCAACGTGACGATCTATAAGGAACAGGGCGTCTTGAAAGCTCACAGAGACGATGTCTCGTGGAAGCTCATGTTTGACCTGGAGCACATCAGTGGAGATTACTTCATGGCTCACATTGACTCCACGACGGCACCGGGACTGATCTTCAGACAGGCAGTGGCTGCGGAGTTCAAGGTGGGGAGCGATGGGGTGGCGAATGGGTTTGGTATTGCTATCGAGCCTGAGATGGGGCTAGAGGGGAGGATCTGGTTTGAGAGAGTTTGAATGAATGTCTGCCTGCTAGGCGTTGCTGAAGTGGTTAAGAATACTGCGCTTCGATCCGCTAGTAGAACGGTGTTTGGAGCCCACAGGTTGGAAGATTCACTGTCTGTATTCTACAGAGTCGTATTTAATAAGGGATCATAACCCCTAGTATCCTTGCAACTACGATTATTCAAAACAAAATCGATTCGATCACTCGATATTTTATGATCGAAAGCTGGTTTTGCCTCTTGATAAGGCGCGCACTCGTAATCGAAACAACAATCGTACGAGTTAACTATCAAATACCAAGTCACAACTTTCGATTACGATTCAAAGCTCCAAATTGCAAATTTGGGAATCACTAAACACGTCCTTAGGAAGTATCAGGACAGTTCGGTACCAGAGACGAACATGGCATTCGCTTACACCTCTCAACTAACTCCCATTCCTCCTCCTCAACCTCAAAATCTCGCTAAGCTTGACCTCCCCCTTTCCACCCCAGCCAGCCACACCACCAGCAACGTCAGGCCTCACAGTCACATACCATCCCCAAGCCCTCCTGTCCAGCTCCTCCCTACTGAAATGGTCAACCCAACTCCCAAACAGCAGATCCAGCGCCCCCAGCAACATCCCAAGATTCTCCTTTTTCTCCCTGTCCAACGCGGCACCAGACCTCTTTTTCTTCGCTCCCCCATTCGTTAACTCAGGCGATCCGAAAGCCTTCATGATATACGCTCTAGCACCCTCGGGTCGATGAATAGGCATAGCAGCAACGGAGCCCGCCTTTTTCATCGCTTCCAGATCTAATCCCCACAGCGCATCCTGACCCACGACACCGGCTACACGCAGACGCTGCGAAAGCGCATCGCGAGAGACCTGGCTCATGATTCTCCAGCGATCGGGACCAAGCATGATACCACCGTACCAGCGCGTGACTACCAGCAAGACGCCAACGATGTTGTCTGCTTGCATGAGACCCAGGATATGGCGACCACCGCCAGACTCGCCATCGTCGTTGCTGGACTCGATGATGCCGCTTGCGCCTTGGACGCGCCAGGCCGAGATATTGTGACTTGCGTCTCGGAGATCTTTGTTTTGGGCGAGCAGAGTATTCAGAGCGGATGTTGCGTCGGAGGGGCTGGTGATGGAGATGGAGCGCGCGATGAAGGTGCTTTGCTTGAGCGTTATAGGAGAGGAGACTGTCCAGCCGGTCGTCACTTTCGCTCCCTCCCCCTCCTCTACTTTAGCAGCAGAGCCCTCTTCCTCCTTAATAACCCCCTCTTCTCTTTGCGCCATGCTCTGCTCTCCCACACTCTCAACAGCTTCGGCTTTTACCTCTTCCTTCCACTCATACCCGCTTCGTTTCAGCACGCTGACTTCCCGTCCCATAATCCTAATCTTCGGCTGCCCATTCCCCCACCCCTCCTCCTCCGCCGCCTTCCCGGCCTGGATCCCGATGCTGACAGCCTTGCTCCTACTATTCGCACTCACCACCGCCTGCGCCAGACTCAGCCTCCCGCTCAGCGGCTGCTCCGGCATCGTGTACTTCAGCAACGCACACGCAAATGCCAGCACCAGCGGCGCACGGTTGGTATGCACCACGCATCTCTCAATCGCCTCCTCGTCCGTACTCGGCTGCGGCAGCTGCAGGGACGCTTCCAGCTCCGCAGGCGTCTGCGGCTCGTGGGAGAGCTCGTACGCGGATCTCGGTCGCTTTGAAGCGGAGGAGGGCGAGAGCGCCGAGGAGGCGACGCGTTTGGTACCGGGCGTGGTGGTGCTGTCGGATTTGAGGTGCGCTTTGCTGGCTAAGAGGAGGGGTTTCGCGGTCTTCTCGTCAACGGCCAGGGCTTTGGCTAGAGTGGGCAAGCTGGTGACTGCGATATCTGAAATACTGTTTTATCGTTAGCAAAGCCGTAGCGGGCTGGTTAGAGGGGGAGGGGAGGACCTGCGTATATTCGCGCCTTGTAGAAGCTTGACGCGTCCCATTGCAGCCAGCATAGGTACTTTGTTGCGTCCTGTTGTGAGCAGGCGCAGCAGATCTTGCATGTCTTTCTGGGCGGCCATTCTGTCGAAGGGTTGCGATTTTGTTGCTTGTGTTGCGCCGATCGCCTGTGTCGTATGGATCATTTGGCTGAAGAGGGGGATGCGGGATGAGCCGATTGAGCTTTCCTTGGTCATGCTCGAGACATTGACGACGTAGAGCTCCATAAAATCGAATTTCAATGTCTTAACAACCTCCTCAAATGTAGTCATACATGGCATTTTCTCTTATTCCTAAATTAGGCTCATACTCTTTTGTCTTCAGGATGAAGTTCACACCAACAAGATACTTCATATCGAGCTCATCAATGGAGAAAGCTCCTCCCAATATCTCTAGAAACGCCTTCATCACTTCCGTCCCTATAAGTCTAAAAAGGTAAAACATGCATCCTACACGATAAAGCATGAATATCTCTAATCTGCTAGCCAATCATACCTACGGTATATCTAGTCCACTTCCCCGTCTTCTGTTCTCAAGCACTTTCGCAACACCAAGTGCTCATCACTCTCTACTCGTTGCTCTTTGCATAATTTTCGAAATTTATATCTCTACTCTGTAAAAAAAAGAAGACTATTCAAAGTGAAATGTATCTACAATAGTAAATAGAATAGCCGTATAAGAATCAAAACCCTCGAATTCGAGTATACTTCCTCATCGCCAAAAACAAAGGCCCAAATTAACCCTTCCACGATGGGATCCACCAAAGGTAAGTTTCCGATATGTCCATGTCACCGGCGCCACAATCGCGCGAGACTAGACCAAGATACCGTGTTTGAACACAGAAATGCGGAAGCTCAAGGTATACGATACCTACTAAACCTCGTCTCTCTTTCCCCATCCCCGTTTCCTTCCCCATTCGCTTATAAGCGAGACGGGCGAGAATGATAACAAACAAACAAATAAACAAACAACGAACGAATAGCAAGGCCAAGCCGAACTCAATCTCGCGCCGCACGGGAATACAAAGAAAAGAAAAGAAAAGATGGACAAACCTCGAGTGATGTGCCGGTCCGATTGTAGCGTTGAATGTGGATCTTGCTGTCTATAAAATGCATCATTGTTGAATATTCGTTGCCTACCTCTGGGAGATATTTCAACGCCAATGGCTTTCTTTCCCTTCCTCCTCACAAGACATGTGCAAAACTACCCGTGATGGGATTATAACCCCCAAAAGCCAGCTTCAGCGTACTGGCCGTGATCCCCAACCCCTCGGGCAACACATCATTGTTGCAGCAAGGAGCTGCAAGATCATGCCTGCCAAGGTAGACAAGTTGGTTTCTGAAATCGTCGGTCGCCACCCCTCATTATAAGGAATTCTCTCCTTATCTGTCGCACGTTAGTCTAGTCTAGATTCCGATACAAGAGCTCAGGCACAGAAAAGGGGGCGGTCGTACCGAAGAGAACCTCGACGTATTCAACGCGGGCGACGCCAGTAATTGGGTCTCTCATAGTAGAGAGATACAAATCCGTCTCGCCATAGGAAAGAGCAAACTGCTGCGGAGTATACGTGAACATCGCATTCCGCGCCGCCTCGGTCTTGACACGGTTATACCTAAGGTATGTATTGCCTGATTAGTAAAAAAAGTCTTCTTCCCGCCTCTCTCCAGCTGACTCTACCCCACGAGGCAGAAGAGAAACCCACTTCGCAGCAGACGCAACCCGGATACTCGTCTCCGTCATCCCTTCAAAGTACCCCAGCACACTCTCCCAGACCGTCTAGTCAAACATCCACTTATCCCCGGCGTCGAGGTAGAATCAGCCCGGCTCAGACTTGCATGCGCTCAATCGGGAAGTTATGCTGCCGGATATCCCGCAGCGTGAAAGAGGTCGCGAGCGCATTCCCCGGCACAGCAGACAGCATGCCCGCCTGGCCGATGGCGGTCGAGAAACCGCGCCGATGTTCAGCTCCTCTTTGAGGCCTCTGACGAGGATCGGGACCGTCGTGCCCCGGCCATCGTGAGGCAGGAAGCTGTGGTTGGCGAGGGAGTTGAGGCCCGGGGCGGTCCTGACTCGGCAAGTCAGCACCAGATTCACTCGATGAATTCAGGGCCGAAAAGGATCGTCTGGGATCACTGATCCCAGAAACAGGATCCCGATCCCGAGAGATCGAGAATACAAGGGTCTACTCAGGTTGTGAAATTTTGGGCGGAGGAGAGGGCTAGGAGAGAGAGGAGCATTAGCGAGGTTGGGGTAAACATGTTCAAAAGCGGGAGTAGTGGTTAACTAACTTGAAGCTTTTTTTGGCCCCATCGAGATTCGCCATTCTATTTGTATTAATTCCTACCTCGGCGTGCGCAGACGGGGAGATGAGATCGACAGCGAACGTGCCTAAGTTTGAGAGATTGTTGACCTATTCTTCCCCAGACTGGCAATATTTCCCCGACAGTCCTCCCTCGGTCCAGCACTAGGTAGTCTGCGGGGGAGACAGCGGCATCACTGATACCCGAAATCTGCTAATCGAGACCTATGGCTATCGAATCACCTTATTTTTACACAACGACTACATGTTATTCAGAGGAAACCAAGTTCGAAAGGACCACAAGACTCCATTTTATCATACAAAAGCCGTCTCCAGGTTGACAGCACAAGCAAAACCATGTCCCACGCCATATGTCTGTTTTCCCAATGCCACCCATGTCATCTTTTGCCCTCCTACCAAAATAGCAAGGGGCCAAACATTATCATGTAAGATGCATTAATCAGGAAACCTCTTCGCGCCCTGCCCCACCATGTGTTGCAAAACCGTGGAAAAAAAAACCCCAACCCCCCCTCGCTCGCTATGCCAGAGAACAAATCCCCAGTGATTCTGGGATAATGAGAGAACGCCGTTTGTGACTCGATAGATTATGTAACAATTAGAAACAGGACTTGGAGCGGCATTCGTGTTTCGGTGGGAGGCTTGTTAAGGTTGACGAAGTATGATGAGATGTTGACCGAAAACCAAGCATGATCAGGTCTTTAGCTTGAAGAAAGAACTAGACCGGTCCCGCTTGTACGAGATTATGGAAACGTTCAGCAACCTGTTGCAGACTGTTAGAATTGCTAGAAAAATAATCCATTGATTTGCTCACATCGGGTGCCAACTTCATGAATGGCAGGTCAAAGAACATGTACTTCTTGTTCTTGAGCAGCTCCTGGGTCACAACAAGGAGGCCCCAAGGCTGTGGCCATTGTCCAAGCAACCGCTCTAGCAAAATTCGGGTGATCTGCTGGCATACTTCCATGTCTTCATGCTCATTGATATCACTGCCAAACAGATCAAGAAGTACCTGAGAGAAGTAGTGAGTTTGCGCGTTAGGGAACCGAAGTTGGTTGACGATACTGCTCAGGAAGAAGTATCGAGTCTCCGGATGAAGCTCCCGGACAAGCATTGACAGCAAGTTAACATCATGGGTACTCGGAGTGAACAAAGGACCGCCTCTTAGCTCAGATCTTGCGATGGAGTTCATGCCGATGTAAAGAACGAGGGAATCAATCAGCTTCGGATCAGCATTGATGGGAACAAAGCCGTATCCTGTCAAGCCTGTCTTCTTTCGTTGGATCTCGTGCGCGATATGGGCAACTGCATCTTCGGATGGGCCATTTTCCAAGGCTCGTTCGACGACGTCTAGTAATCCAGAAGATCTCAAAGGTGCCTCTACATCATTCATGCTCTCGGGGGAGTCTCGAATCTCTCCAGCTCGATCAATCTTCAGTCCAGGCTGCAACGGATTGGGAGTGTCGGAAAATTGAGGTGGCGTCGCACTGAGAATGAGATTATATAGCTGCACAGAGTAGCTGGGGATGTTGGCACAGAGTTTGGAGTGATTGGCGGCCAGGAAATCAGGGAAATCATGGTGGAGCATGACGATAAGTTTGAGAACACCTCGGTGGATCTGATTGGTGGTCGCGTCAAGATGCAGCGGCTTGAGAATCTCTGCAAGATAGAACAACAACTTCTCCATGATATCCGCGAACAATCCCCATCCGGCCTGTTGCGGGATTCTCAATATAGCTGGCATGAAAACTCGGTGGGATATCAGGCTCATCCAGCTGGTGATGAAACCGGGGAAATGAGTTGGAGGGATCTTGAGGAAGGCACGAGCAAAGACGAGAATGATCTCCTGATGTTCCTCTTCCAGCAGGGCATTCCCATACGCGTCCAATTCGCAGAGCATGACGGAGAATAGTCTATAGAATGGCTTTTGATTAAAGCCTTCACCACGAAGCACATGGTGATGGTTCAAAACCAAGATAGTCAGAGACAAGATCGAACTCAGGTATGCTGCCTTGTCAGTTTTGACTTCGCCATCCTGCTCATGGCCTCGGACAAGCATGGCAATGAGCTTGGCCAACGAGTCCGTGGCGACATACGCATCATTAGGGTTTCCGTCATTCTGCATGTGCTGCTCGAAACGGTCGACCGAGTTATCGACAGCCACTCGGATGAAAATAAGAAGATCGTCCCGATTGTTGATCTGTTGCCGGTTGTACATTTGTGAGATGAACTGCGAGGGTGCGACTGTGGACGCGTTCGGATTGCGACAAAGACGAACCCACTCTTCGAAGAGGTAGAGTAGCTGATCCTGTTTACTGTCCTTCGCACTCTGAGAGCGTGGTTCTGGGAGACCAGAGCCTGCCAATTGCTGTTTCAGTCGCTGGCCTATCTCCAACGTAGGATCATCGGAGAGCCACAACCAGGCGACCTCCAAACTCTTTGCAAAGTCTGCATAGAGCGCAGTGGGGCGATCGTTGAGAAGGACAGCTTCCAAGAGGGATAAGAGGAACTGTAGCGAGCCATCCTTCCGTTCCGATATGACTCGGGAGATCTCTACATCAACTCGACCCCATTCGAGAAGCTGAGCTTTGATCAAGCAGACGATGAGAGGTACACGGAAAAAGGCCTCGCCAGGTCGCCCAGCGATGTGTTCATACACACGATTTGCTGTCCGACCTGCCATCCTGCAAATATTTTCCAGAACTTGGACTAGGCACTCTATGACTAGATTTTGCTCCGGGCCGTTGAACAGCATGTTGCAGATGTGGTCGACAATATAGAAGTCGTAGTGGTCAGGTCCCTGAGAACTTCGAAAGATCAGACCGTACAGTTGATCAACGGCGTCAAGAACAGGATGAGGTCGGGGAAGATCGCCAAAATGTTGCTCGGAGGTATCGGCAGCTACTCGTTCCAGTTCCATCAAAGCCTTCTCAACTTTGTCTGCCAGAACACGTGGGTCAATCTGCATGGCTGGCAGTCGTCCATTAGTCATAGCATTACTTTGTTGGGCATAGGTTGGTTGCTGAGCTGGGAGATGCGGCATTGTGGCAGGCTCCGCTGGCGTTGGTAGGTTGGGAACAGGTGCATATGAATCTTGCAGAATTTCATTTGCCATTGATCTTGTGGCATCTGAGGAGGAGGGAATGTGCGCAGGTCCGGCAGACACAGGTTGGGCCCGTGGCTGTCTGGCAAACTCATCGTAGATTGCCATTTGTTCCTGGTTCAGGCCACTCTCGGATGGAGATAGCTTGTAAGGAGCAGGAATTGTCCATGACCAACGACTCAATCCAGGATCCACATATTTCTCACCTGGTCGAGTCATGTTGTGGTGCCGACGGGCTTCCAGCTCTGGCTCAATCATTTCCTCGATTTCGGGAACTGCACGCTCTTCTGCCTTCTTCTCTACCTGACTGCAAGCCAAATCCAAGTTCGAGTTGACGCACATGATAACGGTTCCTTCAGGGAGACCTTGGGGTAGATCGGTCGACATAGCTCTCATGTAATTGGTCATGCTTGCTCGTAATGGTTCTTTGGATGTGACCAAAGCGAGAGCACCTGCTGTCTTCTTGACCATGTTGATCGCAGCTGCACGGACTCTGACCTCACTTGGCTCAGTAGCAAAATCCTTGTGTATCATCTGAGCAGTGGAAATAGCAGCAATGGTGACTGAACGCTCCACGACTGGGGAAATGATCTCGTGAACAGCTCGGGTGATTGCAGCCTTCATGATATCCTGTAGGCGGTTTTGATTGACCATGTCATTAACAGGAGGGTATTGCAGCAAAGGGCCTAGATCTGGAATAGATGAGGTGATTTCGTGGGGAGAGAATCGTCCACCTCCCACACCACCAGCCATCCCGTTCATGGAAATGTTGTCAAATCTGTCCATGACTTCGGGTGGGATGACCTCGGTAGGTTCTTCAATGTGCGAGATCCGGTTCATGATTTCGTCTGATGGCTCAATACTCTTGTGCTCCAGATGGAGTTCTTGGCAAAGCACTTCTATCTCAAATCTGAGATTTAATTTCAGGTCTGCCTTCGTGTACAACTCCATCAGCGCCTTCATGATATCCATGACCCAGGGATTCGGCGGCTTGAATATTGTGGAGTATCTTCCTTGCGCCAAGACCTTGCACACAAAGGGAATGACGACAAGTAGGCGCTGAGATTCGTATCCCTCAATCAGAAGCTGCTTGAAAGCGATGTTTCGGTGCTTGATGGGCTTGTCGCGTGCCAAGGTCAGGGAGCCAAGCCAAACAGCCAGATTCTTGAGGTGTGTTCGATCTAGGGCGGTTTGCATGGTGGACTCTGCATTAAGTGTCCTAAAGGTTCCAACGTAGGTTTCTCGTAACACCTCTGCCCACAACGACTTCTTTTCGAAAAGCTTAATCAGCCCGAGATATACGTTGTGATAATTCGGTTGCATCCTAGCCCTCTCTTGCACCAAGTGACTCGCAAACCAATGCTGATTCTCGTCGGTTATGACATCTTGGAGCTCGTCAAATTTTGCCTGTAGATTTTCACTGCTGATATTGTTCAAGACAAACTGGATCTTGTCTTGAACTTCTTCGTCGGGATCCGGAAATTGGTATGTGGGAAGCTCCAAACGAAGGGCGTTGAAGGATGGTGGAGAGGATGTCTTCATTTCTGCTCCGTTCATACCGTTGGTGGGAGGGAACATGTGAGAGTCCTGCTGGGCATGAATCACGTCCTCGGCCTTCTTCCAAGCATCCGTGTTCTGAAGGCCAGGGATTTCAAGCAAGAGCTTGCAGAAGCCAGGCCACTCACGCAACCTGGAGAAGATTTGAATGAGCGCCTGAAGTCCGAATTTGTACATAGATTCATCTGGAGTGGAATCTTTGACAGCGTCTAGAATCATACCCAAGCCGATTTTGAGGGGAAGCTCAGATATGAGCTTGTGCGAGATGATCCCTCCAAACAGGACAGCAGTAGTAGCCAGAGCCTCCAATGGGTACGTCTGGTACAGCGCATACTCGTCGAACAATCCATGTATCATGCAAGCGAATACATCTTGCTCAGCTGGATCACGGGAGTGTTTATATCTTTCCAGGGCTTCAACGACATCGCGGACCTGGACCTCATCACTGTACATCTGCTTGTAGTGTGCTTCCATTTTCTCATTGGCTTCGGTTGGCAGCGAGTTGCCTTCTGCGCCATTTGCGTCAATGATGTCATCGTATCCCTCTCCGTAATTAATGAGTCGAGGGTATGCTGTGATACATGCGCGTTGGACAAGAGTAAGCTCCGTCATTGGGCCACCAGGCAGCGCATCTTCCAACAACTGTAGGAGCTTCGATATGGTCTTGACGGGAAGCGCCACACTGTGTAGGTGCTTCTGGCGCTGATATGTGAGTTCATGCTCCGCTTTTATGTTGAGGAAGGTGAGAAGCGACCCGGGAAGTTCGGGAATACGTGATAGATGCTTCTGAGCCCAACGCTCCAGATCAAGGAAGCCTTTGGCACTGGCGACCGCAGCGAGATCCAGTCCAAATCCATTGGGAATAGAGGTCAGATCTTCAAGCCAGTTATGCCTCAAAGCATGGTCCAAAATTGTAAGCAACTCCATGGGCTGCTTCGCGTGAGCTTCGATAAGTCGTTGTGCCACCCATTGTTTGTCTTTGCGCCACAGACCCTCGAGTACGAAGTCGAAGTTAGAATCATACTTGTAGAGGAAACGATCAAACAGGTTGTTGATGGTATCCGTCGCCAGTTCGGGCCATGGTTTCGGGACACCAAAAGATGAAACGAGGAAAACGTCCAGGTTGGGTACTACAACTTCTTGAAAGAGTCTTTTGGCTTCAATGGTATCCGAAGCAGCAGTTGTGTGTAAAGCAACGTGGAACATCGCCGACAGGGCAACGACCGATACAAGAGGGTGCTTAATCGCCTGGACGGCGCGCTCCATGACCACCGACTCGCAACCTTCGAAGTCCTCTAATGTGAATGCAAGCTCCAGCCCCGGTATAGTTGTCGCATCAAGCTCACTCTCATCTAGAGATGAGTATGCGCTGATGAAAGACAGTTGCGTCTCGGTATTCTGCCAGGTCCCTCCCCACATGTATTGTATGTCAATTAAGCCCTCGACCGCGAAAGGTCGAAATGCATTATACAGTGCAAGGAACTGGTCTTTGGCTACCTTCAATGAGTCCTGGTCAAAGAAACCAATGACGTGTTGCCAGTTGAAGTCGGGCGAGGCCTCCTTCCGCACGCTGTTGACCAAAATCATGGTAGAGTAGGGTATGCTGCGACTGATCGCCGTGTAGAGCACAGCACCAGCCACCAGCTCTTCGTCGAGGCGAAAGTTCCCATTCCGCAGGTAGCCTCGGCATGATTCTTCGTCTGCCGTGAAGCTTGAGCCAACCTTGTGTATGAGCGAGATCAAAGGATTGTCGGCGCGCAAGGAATGATTGAGGTAGAGAGCTGCCAGGATAGTAGTGGGAAGTGTGGCATCCTTTTCTGGGTTTTGATTTCGATATCGGAACTGAAGCGCCATCATGAGGTCGTTCTGGGCAGTATCATCGAAGTTTCGAGGGTGTTCTTGTATAAATCGATCGATAATCGTAGCTAGAAAGTCAGACGGCATATCTTCATGGGACTGCGTTGGAGTTATGAGAAATTGCAGGAACTGGGGGTAGTTTGCAGATATGATGGCATCCGCTGTCTCATGTTAGCTATGTTCTATAGAGCAAGTACAGACCGGCTCACCCTTAGTCTTGAGGTCTGATCTGGAGCCAATCTTGAAGGCCAAAGCTAGAATTGTCTTCTCGAGCGCGTCTAGCTTGAAATGCTCCATGAATGTAGAGAGGTCGAAGTCTCGGAATATATCCTCGTTTGCTGTCTCTATAGACTCTGCAATCTTCCTTGCCTGGTTGATATCGTGAGATACCTTGTGGACCTCATCTCGCAGTATGGGATAATTCGAAGTATTGGCTACCTGTCGGTTGACTCCTGGGAATATCGTAGCGGCATTTCCAACCACAAGACGACTAAAGTATTTTTGGAACACTTCCATACCGTGCTCATCGATCAGCTGAAAAAATACCAGCGTTAGTTCAGGAGCTTGCATCGAGACGCGCGACAAAGGTGATTCGACGAGGCTTACCTTTCTGAGCTGCTCAGCTTGTTGTTCCCACTTGGTGCGGTCCTTACTCTCCTCTTTAATAGTGCTCAGAAGAAGATAGACTTGGGCGACGACAATTTTTGTCAGGGAGTTAGATCCAGTAGGGCTATTTGTACTGGGGCTCGCGCCGGCGCTGAATGCGCTGTGGTAAGAGCCGTGTGGTGAATGGCTAACGCCTGTGATGATAGTTTGCTGTGAAGGTGTGGAAAAGCCCCCTCTTGAGTTCACCATCGAAGTGTTGATGGTATTGCGCAGACCCACTCCGCGGAGCTATCTCTCGATCTCGGAAGACAGAGAAATAGAGAGCGGCGTGAGCATTGACTGAGGAGTTGGAGAAGGCGTAAGCACGATAGAGACAAGATAGCAGAGATGGTTCTGGTATTTTTGGTGATTTGGGTGGTGGTAGGGAGAGGGGGGGGGG